GTATGCTCGTAGCAAAAGGAAGAACAAAGAAACAGTGGGGTCACTCAGAGGAGAAGATGGTGAAATGCAAACAGGGGACACAGAAAGGGCTGAACTCCTCAATGCCTTCTTTGCCTCAGTCTTCTCTGATAAAGAAAACAATGCCCGACCTGAAGAATTTGGAGCAAATGATTCAGCAAAGGAAACACAGCCCAGAATAACTAAGGAGATAGTACAAGAATACTTGGCTAGTTTAGATGTATTCAAGTCTCCAGGGCCAGATGAACTGCATCCAAGAGTATTAAAAGGACTGGCAGATGTGATCTCAGAACCACTGGCAGTCATCTTTGAGAATTCCTGGAGAACAGGCGAAGTCCCGGCAGACTGGAGGAGGGCAAATGTTGTCCCTATTTTCAAAAGGGGAAAAGAGAGGACCCAAATAATTACCGCCCAGTCAGTCTGACATCAATACCAGGGAAGATTCTGGAGCAGATCATTAAGCAAACAGTCTGTGAGCACCTAGAAAGGAATGCTGTGATCACCAATAGTCAGCATGGATTTCTGAAAAATAAGTCATGTCAGACTAACCTGATCTCGTTTTTGACAGAATTACAAGCCTGGTAGATGAAGGGAACGCAGTGGATGTAGCCTACCTTGATTTCAGCAAGGCATTTGACAAGGTGCCCCATGATATTCTTGTAAAGAAGCTGGTAAAATGTGGTCTTGACTATGCTACCACTCAGTGGATTTGTAACTGGCTGACTGACCGAACCCAAAGGGTGCTCATCAATGGTTCCTCTTCATCCTGGAGAAGAGTGACTAGTGGGGTGCCACAGGGTTCTGTCTTGGGCCGGTCTTATTCAACATCTTTATCAACGACTTGGATGATGGACTCAAGAGCATCCTGATCAAATTTGCAGATGACACTAAACTGGGAGGGTGGCTAACACCCCAGAGGACAGGATCACACTTCAAAACGACCTTGACAGATTAGAGAACTGGGCCAAAACAAACAAGATGAATTTTAACAGGGAGAAATGTAAAGTATTGCACTTGGGCAAAAAAATGAGAGGCACAAATACAAGATGGGTGACACCTGGCTTGAGAGCAGTACATGTGAAAAGGATCTAGGAGTCTTGGTTGACCACAAACTTGACATGAGCCAACAGTGTGACGCGGCAGTTAAAAAAGCCAATGCAATTCTGGGCTGCATCAATAGGAGTATAGCATCTAGATCAAGGGAAGTAATAGTGCCACTGTATTCTGCTCTGGTCAGACCTCACCTGGAGTACTGTGTCCAGTTCTGGGCACCACAGTTCAAGAAGGACACTGACAAACTGGAACGTGTCCAGAGGAGGGCAACCAGAATGGTCAAAGGCCTGGAAACGATGCCTTATGAGGAACGGCTAAGGGAGCTGGGCATGTTTAGCCTGGAGAAGAGGAGGTTAAGGGGTGATATGATAGCCATGTTCAAATATATAAAAGGATGTCACATAGAGGAGGGAGAAAGGTTGTTTTCTGCTGCTCCAGAGAAGCGGACACGGAGCAATGGATCCAAACTACAAGAAAGAAGATTCCACCTAAACATTAGGAAGAACTTCCTGACAGTAAGAGCTGTTCGACAGTGGAATTTGCTGCCAAGGAGTGTGGTGGAGTCTCCTTCTTTGGAGGTCTTTAAGCAGAGGCTTGACCACCATTTGTCAGGAGTGCTCTGATGGTGTTTCCTGCTTGGCAGGGGGTTGGACTCGATGGCCCTTGTGGTCTCTTCCAACTCTATGATTCTATGATTCTAAGATGCAGCTGCAAAGAAGGTGGAGAAAATCCATCAGGCACTGTCTGGAGAAGCATTACTTGTGGACCTCGTGGGATAACTCTGTGGCCCCCTGAGGGGTCCGTGGCTCGCAGGCTGGGAGTCAATACTCCACAACACCAAATAATGCAAACAAGTCAGCAGGCATCCCAGAGAGGCCAGGAGAATTAAGTCTTTAATAGTCTATTTATTGCATCTAGGCAGAGACGGGGAAAATCTAAGTTGACCCCGTGGAGAATGTTCGCTTATTAAAGGCCAGACGCGGCTCTGTTTATGTTTCATAATTGAAGATTGCCCTAGTGTCGCACAGACGTGTTGACACAAAATCTATGCAATCTTCACCTGAATGTTCAATCTGCCACGATAAGAGCGAAAAGTCGTCATAACAGCCCAAGTAAGAGATCTTTTTTCTCTCTCTCTTTCCTGGGCGGCCTCAGCTGCTGTTAAAAGAACTGCCACCCATTTTAGGAACACGGGAAGCTATCTCATAGAGTCAGAGCACTGGTCAGTCTAGCTCAGTCCTGTTGCGTTGCCACATGCATAAAAACATTGGCCATTTTCTCCAGAATGACCACCCCTAATCTCACTATGAGAAGAAAGAACTAGCAGCTTTCAAAAAGAAACCAGCCTGTAAATTGTAGGCCTGCTTCCTTGGGAGAGAGGCACAATAAATGCAACAGGACTTGATTTTGAATAGAGATATACCGGTATATAAGGGACACGGGTGGCGTTGTGGGTTAAACCAGAGCTTAGGACTTGCCGATCAGAAGGTTGGCAGTTCAAATCCCTACGATGGGGTGAGCTGCCGTTGCTCGGTCTCTGCTCCTGTCAACCTAGCAGTTCGAAAGCACCTCAAGGTGCAAGTAGATAAATAGGTACCGCTCTGGCGGGAAGGTAAACGGCGTTTCCGTGTGTTGCTCTGGTTCGCCAGAAGCGGCTTAGTCATGCTGGCCACATGTCCCGGAAGCTGTACACTGGCTCTCTTGGCCAATAAAGCGAGATGAGCACCGCAACCCCACAACTGGACCTAATGGTCAGGGGTCCCTTTACCTTTTATACCGGTATATAGGTCTGCCGTGTTAACCCCTAGAAACAAGGACTACCTGCTATGTTCTCTTTGGATTTTGATGTAAAAAGAACAGTTGTGTTATATAGATAGATAGATGATGATAGATAGATAGATAGATAGATAGAATAAAGACCTACCTGGCCAACTAAATGATGGAGGGGGGTGGTTAGGATACTGAGATAAAGATGTTGGCTGCACAGCCTACTCTTATCACTTGGGCTGTTTCCCCCGAGCTTCTGATGGAATATAACAAAGAACTGCTATGAACCACTGTCACCCATTTGAACCTTTTTAAAAAAAAAAAAATCGACATTTTATTGAAAAAATTCAGTGATAAATAATGAAAAAAAGCAAGAAGAACAATAAAAGAGATACATTACAAAATATGGGTCTATAAGTAATACTGTTATTCCAACTAATAAAAATCAGTAAAACGTTTTAAATTTTATAAATGCATTCTAAATATCATTGTACTTATCAACACACAATCTGTGCCTAAAAGCAATCTATCCATATGTTGCAAGAGCTGTCATATCCTATGCAGTGCTCAAAGGGGGGGGCATGGTATTATCTTTCCAATGAATCATAGAGCTGGAAGGGATCCCCAAGGGTCATCTTGTCCAACCCCTTCAACACATCTTTTGCCCAACGCAGGGCTTAAATCCATGACCCTGAGCCACTATCAAACCCCATATAGTTGGTATGGGGTTTAAAATAACATTATCCATAGAAAATTTCAATCCCCTCCCCCAGCAAGTAGTATTTTTTTTTTTTTTAGAAAATCTTTATTAATTTTCACATAGACAAATATACATAACATATAATACAAAATATAAAAGAATTGATGCTTTTGAATAATGGTGCTGGAGGAGTCCCATGGACTGCAAGAAGATCAAACGTATCCATTCTTAAGGAAATCAGCCCTGAGTGCTCACTGGAAGGACAGCTGAGGCTCCAGTACTTTAGCCACCTCATGAGAAGAGGAAATTCCCTGGAAAAGACCCTGATGTTGGGAAAGATGGAGGGCACAAGGAGAAGGGGACGACAGAGGACAAGAGGGTTGGACACTGTTCTCGAAGCTACCAGCATGAGTTTGACCAAGCTGCGGGAGGCAGTGGAAGACAGGAGTGCCTGGTGTGCTGTGTTCATGGGGTCACAAAGCGTTGGACACGACAAAACAACAACAACAACAGTGGTACCTCGGGTTACAGACGCTTCAGGTTACAGACGCTTCAGGTTACAGGCTCTGCTAACCCAGAAATAGTACCTCGGGTTAAGAACTTTGCTTCAGGATGAGAACAGAAATCGTGCAGCGGTGGCGCAGCGGCAGCAGCAGGAGGCCCCAGTTTCAGGTTAAGAATGGACCTCCAGAATGAATTAAGTTCTTAACCCGAGGTACCACTGTAGAAGCATGCCCATTACCTTGACTTTTGGGAAGAATGCTGGGATGTAAATAAAATAAATGTGAGGTACCAGCAAGAGAGAATACTTAAAGGTGACTTCTCTTCCCAGGAAGGTCTAACAAGCTCCCTTTCTTCCCAGTTTTTGATTCATGTTGCACCTACTGAACACACCGCTGAGACGGTGTTCATGGAAGACAATCTTACTTGGCTATGAGCGTTCGCCAACGAAGAAGAAGAAGAAAGCTCGTTTTATTACAGTAAGCATTTTATAAGCAATTTCTGTGGTTTTAACAGGCTTTTTTTTTTTACTGAAGCTGTGGGTGGCTGTCTCTCCCCCCCCGCCCGCAAAAAAAACCTCCCTATATTTTTAAATATGTTTATTACTAGTATATTTTTATTTGGATGTGCCATGCTGCTTTGATTGCTTGGGCAAAACGCGAGATATAAATAATTCGAAAGGAACAGAAGTATTTTTAGATCCCCCGTTTGATTTTCTCTCCTCACAGGTTCGTTTTTGAAGTTGGTTCTGTGTTCAAATGTGCGGGGTGGACTTCAAAAAAACAAATAAATCTATTCCTCCGCTTTAACATTTCACGCGAAATGCCTTAATAAAGACCAGTGGGTGAGAGGAGACCGGAGACGGGTCAGGAATCTAAAAAAATAAAACAAAATCCCTGCGTGTTTCTTCTTCTTCTTCATATCCCTCTGCCTAATACACCGCGATCGATCGCCTGCAAGTTTAAATCTTGGTGGGGAGCGCAAATGCGTTTTCCGCCGGAGGCTTCCCAGTAAAAAGACTTGGCGATCGTGCGCTTGGAGCAACAAGGAAACCGGGAGGAGGCGAAGCTTGCCAGACCAGAGCAGGCGGCCGCTCAACGCAGCGCTGGACTCGCTTGGGCAGGGGGCGCAGGCGGCGCTCGCTCGGCAGAGGGCGTCCCGCTTGCGGCTTCGAGCGGAGCCGGGAGGAGCCTCGTGCGTTGCGCGCCTGGGCCGGGGAGGAGCTGCGCCACCGCCGCCGCCGCTTGTGCCACGTCCATCGGGCTGAGCCGAGCCGGGAAGCGGCTGGAGCGCCCGCACGTGCGCGCCGGTGGTGAGTCCAGACGGGGCGGCCAAGTTGCAGGAGCGCGGCGATCTCCGTTCTTCTCTCCTCCTCCAAAAATTTAAAAAGGAGCCAAAGACCCGACACCCGCAGCCCCGATCGCTGCCTGCCCGGGACTTTCTTTCCCAGCTGTAGATTCCGCAGTCGGCGTAAGTCGTGGGAGGGGAGCGCGTGTGCATGCTGGTTACTCACGAGTAGGAGCCGCGTCGAGCCCAGCAGCGCACTTTGCGCCCTGCGTAAAAACAACCCTCCCCAAGCCTTTGCGCCGAAGGAGGTCCAAGTCCGGGCCCCGGGAGGAGGGTGGGGGGAGTAAAGTGCCACCTGGGTTTGTAGCCCGAGACTACGTGGCGCGCTTTACTCGAGAGTAGATGTTCGTCTGAACTCGTGCATAGGGCGCGCGCGTGGGATTTCACCCCGGTGTTTACTCGGCGGAGAGTTCCGCGGTGCCGGCGACGAGGGGGGAGCCTTCCAAGAAAAGCGTGCGTTAGGTAGGATTGAAGCTCCTTTTTTTGGAGGGGGGAGCCAAGGGGGCGCAGGAAAAGTGGCGCGAGGCTTCAAAACGCGTGGAAATCGGGGGGCAGAGAAATAGTTGAGTGCGTCTGGGCGGGATGAGGCCTCTTTCGGGTTGCAAGGAAGGCGAGAGGCGGGAGTCCCGTTGGAAACTTCGCGGAGCAAAGGGAAGAGGCGTGTTTAAAGCTGGGAGGGGCGGTGGGTGGAGGGGAGGAGAGGGTTAAAAGGGGGTCGCGGATCAAGTTGCTGCCCTGATCGCGACCCGGAGACAAGTCCTTCCCTCCACCCGCCCCCTTAAATCAGTTTCCAGACGCGCAGCTGCTCGGCTTTGTAAGCCCTAGTAAGCGGATCTCCAAGAGACGAGTTGCTGTGTGGATCGAAATGGGGAGTCGTGCAGGCTGCAACTTCCTGCGCAACTTGGCCAGGACTTCCCCAGCCCGGATTGGGGGAGAGAGGAGGATCCGTACACGTAACGCCGCTTTGCTGCTGATCCAACAAGGAGCCGTCCCTCTCTCCTTTCTACCCCCACCAGCATGTTTTGGACTCTGTTGCATGTCTGGGGCGATTTTCCCGGTCCCTTTTAAAGTAGGTCTTGGCTCCGTTTTGTGGGAGCGGAGATCAGGACTGCACCTTGCTTGGGCAGGGGCGTCTCATGGATGTTTTCCTCGGAAGTAAACCCAGCAATGTTCAGCGACATATGTTAGCCTACTCGCGTTGCAATCCTAAGCACCTTTAAGATTTAGTGCAGTTTTGGGGAGCGGAACTTGAAACGAGGGGTGATGAATATAGCAGCACTGCATGAGACTCTGGGAGCTGTAGTTCTTTTAAAAATAAATTTAGCCTGGCCCTCAGAAATATGAGTAAAGGGGAAGAAGTCGCAGCGTAACAGCCCAATAACTTGAGGTTAGTGGGACACCAAAGGCAGCGTTATCCTTTTCGCTCCAGTAGCTGTGAAACTGGCGACTGCTTTTGATCTTTGGACACAGTGACATACGTCGGGCACACATTTCTTCGGTTAATATTATGCTCAAGGTGTATGATTTTATTTATTGCTTTATATCCTGCCCTTTCTTCTGAGGAGGTCAAGGCAATGCACATGGTTCCTACTGTTTTAATAATAATAATAATAATAATAATAATAATAATTTTTATTTATATCCCGCCCTCCCCAGCCGAAGCAGGGCTCAGGGCGGCTAACAACAATAAAACAGTACAAAAGTACAGCACAAACAACACTCTAAAACCATTCATTATAAAATTAATTAATTCAAGCCACTGGCAACCATTGGGCCAGAGCTCCGTGAAGATTGCTGAGGGAGGGAGTCAGGCTGTGCCCTGGCCAAAGGCCTGGTGGAACAGCTCTGTCTTGCAGGCCCTGCGGAAAGATGTCAAGTCCCGTAGGGCCTTGAGCATATCCATATCTCGATCCCCTTCGCCTATAACATCTGCCCCCACCGCCATACCTCCCTCGCCCCTCCACGGTAGCAATCCCAAGCCTCATAGTAGCCTCCATTGATGGAAATTAATGTTACTCTTTCGCAGCCTAAAACAATAAAACCTTAAAACAATAAAAACAAAAAACAAAAACAACCCAGAAAACAATAAAACAATACAAATAAAAACTGCAAAAATTACAAATTCATCAAAATCTAACAAATTCCCAAGCCCACCCAAACATCCCTCCCACCCCCATATATAAAAATCTAAAGGGAAAGGGAGATTTTAAAACATGTTAAAAGAACTCTGCACCCTCCGGGTCCTCCTGGGCAGTAGCAGCATCAGTGGCAACAACCGTCCTTGTGAGGCCCCACCCTGGGCCAGATAGTAGGTGGCAGGAGCAGTCCTTGTGAGGCCTGTCAGGCCCCGCCCTGGGCCAGGTGGTAAGTGGCAGGAAGGAGCAGGGCCCTCAGGCACTCACACGGGGGAGTCCACATTATCCAAACAACAGCCCTGTGAGGTAGGCTACGCTGGGAAAGAGTGACTGGTCTGAACTCTTGCAGTGAGCTTTGGGGTTTAGGATGCGATCCTATAGCAAACTCCACCTGGATGAGTGGGTTTGGGGTTGAGCCAGGAAGTTCCTGGCATAGCTGGGCTTTATCGTCCCCCATCCCAGCTCAGTTTAAGCCAGTTCTGTAAAAAGGGGGCGTTCGGGGATGTGAGGTGGTGGCAGGAACAGAGAGGGATCTTCGGCAGGATCCCACGCCACTTCATCTTGGTCACATGATCTGGCAACCCCAGCTACCTTTGAAGGTGACTCAGAAACTACAAGTAATCCAGAATACGGCTGCCAGACTGGTGACTGGGTCTGGCTGCTGGGACCATATAATGCCAGTCCTGAAAGACCTATGCTGCCTGCCAGTACATTTCTGAGCACAATTCAAAGCCTTTAAAGCCCTAAATGGCTTCAGTCCAGTATACCTGAAGGAGCGTCTCCAGCCCCATTGTTCTGCCCGGACACTGAGGTCCAGCTCCGAAGGCCTTCTGGCGGTTCCCTCACTGTGAGAAGTGAGGTTACAGGGAATGAGGCAGAGGGCCTTCTCGGTAGTGCCACCCGCCCTGTGGAACGCCCTCCCAGCAGGTGTCAAATAAATAAACAACTATCTGACTTTTAGAAGACATCTGGAGGCAGCCCTGTTTAGGGAATTTTTAATGTTTGATGTTTAGTTGTGTTTTTATATTATGTTGGAAGCCGCCCAGAGCGGCTGAGGCATCTCAGTCAGATGTAGTAGTAGTAGTAGTAATAATAATTTTAAGCCGGCAAAAAGGGCAGTGTCACTCAAATGCTATTTTAAAGGCTTGTTTTGCCTCTGCCAGGCTCTGCCACCCTAAAGCAACCCCGCTACTGAACGGAGTTTGGATCTGCCAGCTTAACTTTCACCGACTTGATTTACATCAACTTATTGTGCGAAAGGTATTGTTCCCGTGGTGTGGATTTGAATTTGGGCATTGCCACCCTTTTTCGGCCCATGGGCACATTTGCACACCAGAGAATCTGTTGTGGATGCACCCACTTCTCTCACACACCTAGACAGGTGCTGCAACCTGTTCTATTGCCTATACAGTAATGTTATGCTTCTTTTAAAACTTTCCTGGTCAACTGGTGGGGGGGTGAGGGTACCAGGAGGGCATTAGCGATGGCCTCAGTGGGCACATAGGTGCTGTGTTGGCAATAATAATAATAATAATAATAATAATAATAATAATAATAATTTATTTGTACCCTGCCCATCTGGCTGGGTTTCCCCAGCCACTTTGGGTGGCTTCCAACAAAGATTAAAAGACATTAAACACTTCCCTGAACAGGGCTGCCTTCAGATGTCTTCTAAAAGTCTGGTAGTTGTTGTTCTCTTTGACACCTGATGGGAGGGCGTTCCACAGGGCAGGCACCACTACCAAGAAGGCCCTCTGCCTGGTTCCCTGTAGCTTTGCTTCTTGTAGCGACGGAACCACCAGAAGGCCCTTGGCGCTGGATCTCAGTGTCTGGGGAGAACGATGGGGGTGGAGACGCTCCTTCAAGTCTACTGGGCTGTGGCCGTTTAGGGCTTTAAAGGTCAACACCAACACTTTGAATTGTGCTCGGAAACATACTGGGAGCCCATGTAGAGAAGGCAACCCCTTCTCTGAGCATTACCCCATTCTGGTTTGAAGGAGGGGAGCCTGCAGCTGGAAAAGAGAAGGGAATTTGTGCGTTCCCATTGACCTAATAGTTATTTTTAACGTGCCGCCTGTGTTTTTGTACCAACGTTGTGTTTTTCAGTTGGGGAACCTGTATTGCATTGTGCTCGGGACTGGTTTCGTCTGGGGAGGTGGCAGCAGGCCCCCCCATCCCTCTTTGCACAGCCATGATGGAAGTTCCAAATGCCTCCTCTCTCTATTGGCCAGGTGTGAGGAACATTTGGCCTTCCAGGTGCTGCTGAACTACAACTCCCATCAGCCTCAGCTAAGCTTGACCAGCCAAACCGTCAGGGATGAAGGGCATCCCACTTCCTTTTTCAACTGTGCTTTTCATTAAAGCGTCCAATAAAACAAATGCAAGCTTCAAGGGAAAAGATTTAGCATCTGGAAGGCCGAACGTTCTCCATCCTTTGCCGAAAGTGTGGTGGGACATTGCTTCTCCAGGTCCCTGTTTTTCAGGCTATGTGTGGGAAAGGTGTGGGAGGCAGGCAAAGAGAATGTAAACCTGGCACCGAATACTTTACAAAGCTTTAAGTACAGGCAGGGCTCTGAGCTGGCAGCAGGAAGGAAGCTGAGGAGCAGGGGCGTTTCAGAGATCTGGGAATGATTGGCCAGGGAGCCAAGACACAGCCTCTTTTCAACATCTGAAGGGCAGAAGGCGGAGCAGACTTTTGCTTCCTGTTGTTCGAGAGGGCAGGGCCAGGATCAGACGGCTAGAAAATTGTGTTTTTCAAGGTGAATTTGGGTTCCTGAAATTCATTCTGATTGTGCAGATAAAATACAACAGATACAGTGGTACCTCGGGTTACATACGCTTCAGGTTACATATGCTTCAGGTTACACACTCTGCTAACCCAGAAATAGTGCTTCAGGTTAAGAACTTTGCTACAGGATAAAAACAGAAATCGTGCTCCGGTGGCGCAGCGGCTCCAGGAGGCCCCATTAGCTAAAGTGGTGCTTCAGGTTAAGAACAGTTTCAGGTTAAGTACAGACCTTCTGAACGAATTAAGTACTTAACCTGAGGTACCACTGTAGAATTCTACAGGCTGTGTTGCTCTAGCCTGTGGAAACAGTCCGGGTCCAAGGATCTCCAGGCATTCACCTCCAATGGTGGAGACGTCAGCTGCCATACTGGGCATCTTCACTTGGTCGCAAATGGCCAACAGCCAGGTGCAAAGTGCGCCTGTCACCAGGTGAATTACATTCGCTGCTCCAGATGTTTTGAACTTGCTGTGACTGGTGCTGATGGGAACCACAGTCCAAAACATCTGGAGGGTGCCACATTGACGATGTTCTAGAGCTGATGATGCGGCCGTGGTGCCTTTAAGACCAATGTGAGTCTAAGGTTCTTGGCTCCCTTGCCCTGGTTTTATTGGATGCTGGGCAGCTTGACAACAGCACGTTAACAATGATCCAGGATTTAATCAAACCCTATTTTCTCACTTCCTTTTTTAATTTCAGTAATTTGGCTAGCACCCTGTGGGGCTCCACATTACGGAGCGTGGAGAAAACAGTACCCTCGGATTCTTGGCTGCCTTCACTAACAGAGATTAAAAACCCCGCAATTTGCTAATGAGAATGTGGGGGGGGGGAGTGGGGAAATCTAAGAGGCAGGCAGGTACTCCCTCCCAAAGACATTTACCTGCATCCGTAGACATTTGGCAATCTGGGCAGTTGCACAGTTGGCCCATGTGGTTGGTTTCACTCTATAAATATTGCATATGAGGGGAACTCTGTTGCTTCTATACCTTTATTGAGGCATTGTGATCCTAAGGAGCTAATTATGGCCTGGAAACGGAGGAGAATTTCACATACAGTGGTTCCTTGGTTTGCAACCCTTTTGGATTACAACCCTTTTGGATTACAACCACGTCAAACCCTGAAGTGTGTGTCCCTTTTTTTGGATTACAACCCATTTATTTTTTTGGAGGCCCCATTGGCGAAAGCGCGCCTTGGGTCACAACCTGTTTTGGTTTACAACCGGACCTCCGGAACGGATTATGGTTGTAAACCAAGGTATCACAGTACAGTGGTACCTTGGGTTAAGTACTTAAATCATTCTGGAGGTCCGTACTTAACCTGAAACTGTTCTTAACCCGAAGCACCACTTTAGCTAATGGGGCCTCCTGCTGCCGCCATGCTGCTGGAGCACAATTTCTGTTCTCATCCTGAAGCAAAGTTCTTAATCTGAAGCACTATTTCTGGGTTAGCGGAGTGTGTAACCTGAAGCGTATGTAACCTGAAGCGTATGTCACCCGAGGTACCATTGTAATTCCATTTTGAACATTGCAACTGAGTCAGATCATTGGCCCATTGTGCTCAGTGCTTCAGGGGTTTCCAGACTTTTAAGGTTTGTGGGCACCACTCCCTTGGTTCACTTCTACCCCCCAAGACAGAGAAAATGTGTATGTGCTCCCTTTGCTTTTTCAAGAGCTCTGAGTATAAGATCCCGTAGAATTAACCTGAGCCTTGGAAAGCACATAGAGTTGTAAAAGGAAGTGGGAAAGAGGGTCACTCTTCCAACTTCCTGTTTCAGCACTGTGTAATTTTCAAGGGAGAAAAAAATGTAGGCACCTCATGGCCAAGGGGGCAGTGAGTTCTTCCAGCTGTTTTGGACTACACCTCTCATTAGGCCCACCCAGCATGGGGATTGTAGTCTAATAAAGCAACTGGAGAGCCCCAGATTGGTGAAGATGTTGGAGAACTTCTAGATGTTGGAGAACATTGGTGGCAAAGCATTTTTCTTGCAAGCGGAAGGACCCAGGTTCATTCCTAAACCTCTCCAGCTGTGGCTGGGAATGTCCCTCTGCCTTGACACCCAGGAGAGTCACTGCCAGTCAGTGTGGACAGCATTGAGCCAGATGGACTAAAGGTCCAACTCTGTCTAAGATCGCATCTTGTGTTCCAGACCCGTTGCTTAAGATGAGGTTGCTAATCTAGCAAGCGTGCGTAGATCTGCTCTTTAGCTGTTTGGCGGTACAGTTGCCGTCCTCCGAAAATAGTTCTTAAGTGCTTTGAAGAGATTAAGCCGGGCGTACTTGGGAAAGAAAAAGAGAGCTCCATTGTTAGGCTTTAAGAATTAAATGTCCTAAACCGCCAGAATTATTGTAATTGAAAAGGAAAGGGGGGGGGATCAGAAGGCTCATATTAACACAGCCTACTAAAGAATGTCGGGAGATTATTAAAAGGAGAACCCTAATAATTGGCAGGATAATCCGCTCTGAATGTGAGCAGTGCAGCTTTGCTTGAGTTTCTAGGCACAGTTTGGCAGTTCGAAGGGGGCACAGATGTGAATTGTTTATTGAGCCAAGTTTAATTTACAACTTGCCCTCCTTTTAAAAAAGATTCCGAGTTTGACAGCTACCTGCACAAATGAAAAAAGAGCCCATCTTTTTTCTTTTTGTAAATCACACACTTCCTTAATATTAACAGATCTTACCCACCCGCCCCAATAATACTTCAGTTGTGCCAAAAGCCCATCGCAAAACATCCAGCCTGTTGGGTGAACATGAGTCCTTGTAGCTTTTAATGTCTGAAGGAGTGATATTGTCAGTAGCGCCAATTCCATCTGTTGTTGGATGCTTCCTTTGAACTGGAGGTTGATACTATCCGGGAGATTAAGTGTCTCTTGAACTCATAAACTTGAAAGATGTGGCTCAGTGCTTTAGATCTGAAAAGGAAATATGATTTGGTCCACTTGGGTTACATAGTGGCTTAGGATTTGACTTACACAACTTGCGGCCCATCAAGTTGAATGCAGCAGCTGTCCAGCGTTGACTGCCAGGTGTATGACAACACATGCACAGCCTGAATAATAATAATAATAATAATAATAATAATAATAATAATATACATTATTTATATGCTGCTCATCTGACTGGGCTGCCCCAGCCACTCTGGGCTGCTCCCAACAAATTATAAAACCACAGTAAAACATCAACCATTAAAAACCTCCTGATACAGATGTCTACGGAAGGTCCTAATAATCTTTTATCTCCTTAACCCAGAGGGCGTTCCACAGGGCAGGTGCCACTACCGAGAAGGCCCTGTGCCCCGTTCCCTGTAACCTCACTTCTCGCAGCGATGGAGCCGCCTGAAGGCCCCTGTAGGCTGCATTCATTGTTGGAAATTAGCCTGGCGCCTTTTGCACCTGGCTGTAGGCAACTTGCAACAGTCAAGATCCAAGGATCTTGGTATGCATGAACCTCCAGATGATGGAGATGTTGGGCGCCAGCTTGGAACTAATACCACATCCTGTGGAATTCTGCCTGCGATGTTTTATCAGAATGAATTTCAGGAACCCAGTTTTTTTTTTCTAGAAACAGGGAGTAGCTCTAACCAGCCCAGCCTTGTGCTTCTGTTGCCTTTGGACCGCAGTGTGTTACTGAAGCATCAGAGAGGGAAGGCATAAGTGGAATGTGCCTGATCTACCCTCCCAGTCACTTAGTCGGGCGCTGCTTGTGTGTGCTTGGAAATGCAAGGACTGTTATTGTGGTGGAATGAGCAAAACAAGATGTGGGCTAAGCAATGTAATTACTTTTCCAAACACTCAAGGCCCCGGTTAGCTTGCTGGCGGGAACATACCTAGAAGTGTTTGTCATGCGTCAGGCTCTGAGACGACGAAATGGGATCTTCTTGCCCCTAGATAAAAGAGGCATGCAAATGAGGTGCTGTGCTCAGGTAGACGCAATGAAGTGCATCCTCTCCCCTTTGCTGTAGGCATCTCAGATAAGGACAATACCTGTGCTTCTGTAGTTGCCGTATTGGAGTTGCTGAACTCATTCTTCTGGACTCTGTATCTACAATAGGGCAGCAGGCGTTGCAGCAAAGAAGTGTGTTCAGCGTTAGAAACTCAGGTATAGGTGCCAAATGGCTCCTTAAACCAGGGTTACAGTCACCAAAACAGAATGTCTAGTTGCCGTTTTGGGGCCAGACGGCTCGGAAGTCATATTTTTCAATGCGACTTTTTGGTTCCTGACATTCGTTCTGATTGTGCAACTAAAATATCACGGGCAGAATTCTACAGGATGTGCGTCTAGTGTGTGAAAACGGCCCAGATGCAAGCATCCCCAGGCAGGTAACTCCGGGCAGTGGAGATGTCAGGATTGCCCTGCTCACCACCATTTGGTAGCCAAGCTCCAAACCCAAAGTCCTGTTCCGATGAATTTTGGCATGCCTGCTGATGATATTGCTGATGCCTTTGCTCCTTTCGTTTCATGCCTCTTCTGGTTCTGCGAGTCCAGGTGGGAGGGGAGCTTGTTACAGCAGGAAGGGGAGACACCCTGTCTTCTTCACCAGCCAGACCCATCTCTGCTTCTTGGCCTCCCTCCTCTTCTGCTTCCTTTTCTACCTCTGATTCCACACTTCCCTCTGCCACAGCCTCTTCCTGCTCACTAAACCCCGTTACCTCTTCAGCTTCCGACACCTCTACTCCCCAGCCTTCTCCCTCTGACCACTCATCATCACACCACCACCACTTCCCAGGATCGGAGCCTTCTTCCCTTGGAGGTTTCCCAGGTGGTTCCTCCCAACATAACTCTGCGTCCAACCAGTCTGAGACAGTCCTATCAGCAAACTCAGGTGGTGAGTGCCATTAAAACACGGGAACCATTTTCCAGGCTGAGGGCTGCATTCCCTTGTGGGCAACCTTCTAGAGGCCACTCCTTCTATCTGGGATGGTCATCCTCTTCCACCGAGCGCGCAGCTTCGGGAGGGACGCACACGGAGCGGTGAGGGAGGAAGGGGGCACCCGCCTAGCCAGCCAGATCAGCCGAATCAACCCTGGCAATCAATGGGGTGACAGATGTCGCAGCCAGATCACCCTCACATTACCTCACATGAGATCATTACCCCACTCTTAACTTACCATCCCAGGCCGCCCATCTGAGGCCACATTGTTCTTTCTTTGATCAGATCAAAATGATCAGACAACAGCAAAGGCTGCTAGATTTATCGAGGGTGCAGTGAGATTTAGGGCCACTAAGGGTTAAACTACAGAGCCTAGGGCTTGCTGATCAGAAGGTCGGCGGTTCGAATCCCCGTGATTCGAATCCCTGTGACGGGGTGAGCTCCCGTTGCTCGGTCCCTGCTCCTGCCAACCTAGCAGTTCGAAAGCATGTCAAAGTGCAAGTAGATAAATAGGTACCCCTCTGGCGGGAAGGTAAACGGTGTTTCCGTGCGCTGCTCTGGTTCGCCAGAAGCGGCTTAGTCATGCTGGCCACATGACCCGGAAGCTGTACGCCGGCTCCCTCGGCCAATAAAGCAAGATGAGCGCCGCAACCCCAGAGTCGGTCACGACTGGACCTAATGGTCAGGGGCCCCTTTACCTTTACCTATCTTCTAGAGGCTACTTGTCAGAGGCAGGCATGGCCAGAGGCCATAGTGGGCAGGGCAACAGGCGGGCCTCTTAGCTTTGTGCATCAGTTGAATCCCTGACTAAGGACAGTGGAACCCCTGCACAAGGACTTTTGCTTGTGCAATGGGGGCTTCCCCCCATCCTCCCCCTGCACCCCTCCCTGAAATTAGTTCTGGAGAGGACGCTGGAGAAAAGCAGAGATCCAAACACAAATAGTATTATCAAAGCATCAGTGACAGGGGCGAGTCTTGTGGGTCAAGGAAAGAGATGTCTCTATGAGATATCCGAAGCGGCTGGTGGATACTGCTTCACTTTAGAACGTAAGTAGAGTTCTGTGCTGGATCAGGCCAGCGGCCCACATGCTCCAGAATCCTGTTCTCACAGCGGCCAGGCAGGATCTTGGCAAAAGCAGGGCACACACTCTCTTCAGATTTCTTGGCCTGTAGCCACTGATAGACAAATAAGCACGAGCCTCATGACTTTCTTAAAAAACAAAACATCGAGACCAATGACCGTCGCTACCGTAGCAAATTAGATAAGTTAATTAAGACCAACTTGGCCCAGTTCTATGTTTCAGCCATCTGCAGCTCGCCCGCATCTCCGTAGCCATCTGGTTAACACATTTTGTTCATCCTTAACTCCTCTCCCCTGCCTTCTGTTTAGCGTGGATTGTAAACTCTCCGAGTGGGGACTGTCCAGGATGCGGTGCCTAGCAGTTGGTTCGTACGTGGGTAAAAGCGTCTGGCAATCCCCCCCTCCCATGGGTCTCCCTCTTTGTTTAGATTCAATCATTCCTCTCTGCGCAAGAACATTTCCCTCAGCACGTCACGGAGCTCCTCGCGTGCTGTTCTAGGATGCCGTGCCAAAACCAATTGTGCCGAGAGCTGTTGCGGTTGCCTGCAGCGCTGAGGGCTTCCAGACTGGCTTGAGCTTATGAGTTATTTTGGAAATAAATTAGCCTCTCGATGGCTGTCATCATGCCTATAGCGAGAAGCGATCGCAGGAGAGCCATCAGAATCTACGGGCAGAGGAAGGGGGACAAATGGCAAGTTTCCAGGCATTATATACTTTGGAAAGTCGTGGCTTCTCCCCTGGGAATGCTGAGAACTCTAGTTTGTTAAGGGTGCCAAGAGTTGTCAGGGAGATCACCAACTGCATCTTGTGGCAGTGAGTGCCGTAGGTCCCCCACCCATAATGTGAAAGTCATCCATTAAGTCCTGAGTCCATTGTCGACCAGCTTCAATGAGTGAACCAATTTTTTACGGTTAGAGAAGGGAGAAATAATTCCTGCGTTCAATGCCATTGTTAATCTTATAGATCTTTGCCATATCTTCTTTCGGACACATTCCCCCCCCAAACCCCCCTTAAAAGCTCACAAATGCTTTACAGTCTTTCCCTTAGGGAAGACACTCCAATCTTTCTATCATTTTAGTTGCTCTTAGAACACCAGGAAGCTGCCTTCTGAATTTTCAGACTATTGGCCCATCAAACTCCGTTCTACAATGAGCCAAAGTCTGCAATTCCTCTCTGCTCCCCCCTTCTGCTAACAAACTTCATAGAACCAGCTGCATGGAATTATCAAATAAATCCTTAATCTGCAGGCTTAAAAAGTTTCTTTCTAAACGGATAAGATTATCAGAGACTGGCAGGGAGGAGGGATAAATTCTGTGGCAGGTTTAAGCAAAGTACACGGGGACTGTGTGTGCGGGTGCATTTTGCAAAAAAAGCCTTAAGGGAAATGCTTTAACATTTGTGGCGAGATCCCTAGCAACAAGGCTGGATAACATCTCAGCCTGAGACCTTGAATAGCCACTACCTGTTTATGTAAGTAGCTCTGGGATCTGTGGGCCAATGGTCTAACTTAAACTTAGGCAGAGCTGGTGCACATATTTTGTGCACGTACAGACATCCTCTTCTTGGTAAGCCTGCTGTGGATTTTTGCATATACCAAAGATTCATGCCTTGCAGGGGGTTGGACTAGGTGTCCCTTCCAACTCTACAATTCTATGAAATCAGAAGTGCCCCTTCAGCTTTTGTGCTGCCCTGGCCGCAAGGAGGAAATTGGAAGCTTCCACTTCCTGGTGTTTAGGGTCTGGATGAAACCCTAAGTCGTGTCTAGTCTTAATTATGGTTTGTTAAAACCACCTGCCGTCTGGGGTATTGCCCCCTCTTCTGGGTGCTGCTGTTTCATAAAAATATCGACGCACTGGAGCATGCGCAGGAGAGTTTGACATAGTTGGTGATGGATCGGGAGATGGGAGTTCCATGAGGAGCACTGGGTATGTTTAGTCTCGTGAAGAGGTCAGAAGATAGTGTTTCTCATGTATGTGAAAGCCTGGCTCAGAAGGTGGAGCAAATCTTGTTTTCTGTCATGGGTAGGAACACGGCCATATTTAGGTTTGATGAAGCCCTATGCTACTGAAGGTAATGGGGCCCTTTATATCTCCAGCTGTCCTTTGTCAACAACAAATTGTCGCTGTTTTGTGTGTGGAATATATGCTATATGGTAATTTATGGACCTAAAGGTAAAGGTACCCCTGCCCGTACTGGCCAGTCGTGTCCGACTCTGGGGTTGCGTGCTCATCTCGCTTAAGAGGCCGGGAGCCAATGCTGTCCGAAGACAGCGCTGTCCGAAGACACTTCTGGGTCACGTGGCCAGCGTGACGAAGCTGCTCTGGCGAGCCAGCACCAGCGCAGCGCACAGAAACGCCGTTACCTTCCTGCTATAAAGTGGTACCTATTTATCTACTTGCACTTTAGGGGTGCTTTCGAACTGCTAGGTGGGCAGGAGCTGGGACCGAACGACGGGAGCTCACCCCGCCGCGGGGATTCGAACCGCTGACCATACGATCAGCAAGTCCTAGGGACTGAGGTTTTACCCACAGCACCACCCGCGTCCCTTAATTTATGGACCTAATAGGTATCTAAAGCCATTTGCACATAACAAAACATGTATTTTATCAAAGTAATTTGTTTTTTTATCTTATATTTTGGAAATGTACATCCAGTTTTTTTCCTTTAATTTTTTTGGGGGGCCCCAAGAGAGTGGGGCTCTAAGCTATAGCTTGTTTAGCTTATACAGTGGAACCTCGGGTTAAGAACTTAATTCATACCGGAGGTCCATTCTTAACCTGAAACTGTTCTTAACCTGAGGTACCACTTTAGCTAATGGGGCCTGCCGCTGCACTGCTGCTGCACGATTTCTGTTCTCATCCTGAAGCTAAGTTCTTAACCCGAGGTACTATTTCTGGGTTAGCAGAGTCTGTAACCTGAAGCGTCTGTAACCCGACGTACCACTATACGTAAATCTGGCACTGGGTAGGAACCAAACCAGCATGTTGAAATGACAAGAACTCTCTGATTGCATGAGTAGCTCATTAGAGTGTATTGCCTCTGAAAGCGGCAGACTATTCTTCTTTAGATTTTTTTTAGCGGATTCTGGATGGCTGTTAGCAGGCACCAGGCAAATTTTGCACCTGCCTGACTACAGTGGTACCTCTGCTTATGAGCACCTCTGGTTACGTATCCTTCGGGATACACACGCGGCAAACCCGGAAGTATTTTCCAGGTTTTGCCGCATGCGCAGAAGCACTGTTCTGTGCCGCACACATGCGCAGAACAGGCACCTCTGGTTGTGAAAACCTCGGGATCCGACTGGAGCTCTGGAATGGATCCTGTCTGCAACCGGAGGTACCACTGTACTTGTGACCAAGTGAATATGCTCCCCCTGACATCACCACCATTTGGTGGTGCATGCCTAGGGATCATTGGATCCGCACTGTTTTCACATACTAACACCCCCATCCTGTAGAAATCTATCAGTTCTGTTTTATCTGCCCAGTCAGGATGAATTTCTGGAACCAAAATGCTTTTTCTGTGCATCCTCAGCAGGAGCAGTCACCATTAAGAAAAAGAGGTCGGAATAGGCCAATCTATATGTGGACTGTCTCTGGATCAAGTAAATTTTCTTCTTTAAGTTCTCAAAGCTCTTAACCTAGCTCAAGTTAGTCCTCTGAACCAGCCAGATGTTTCACTAGGAATCAATCACAGTCGGTCCATCATTTCAAGCCATCTAGCCCCAAAATGGCAACTAGACCAGGAGTAGGCAACCTAAGGCCCATGGGCCACAAGCAGCCCACATGGGTTGTTTAACCGGCCCACGACTCGCTTCCGCGGTGCCAGAAATCGCATCTGCGCAGACGCTGGAAATCGCGGCCGCAAGTGCGGAATCCGGCCCACAGAGGGATCGCCGCTGGAGTGAACCGGTCCAGGCGAGGTAAACCTTGCTGACCCCTGAACTAGACATTCCGTTTTGGCGATTATAACCTTGGTTGAAAAAGCCATTTGGCACCCAGCTCCTATATCTTGAGTTTTTAATACTGGCTGTCAGCCAGGGATTCTGCAACATGGATTTCCTACATGATCAGGGAATCCAGCATCATAAAACTGCGGTCAATTGAATGCAAAAGTGAAAGCCTCTGAACTCTTTGTGCACTGAGGGAACAGCCAGACACAGGCAGAGACCTCAGATGATATAGGTAGTCAGTAGCTTTCTGTTTAAGTGTTAGATATATTTAACGAATATATTGTCTCGTGCTATTACGGAATTGAATAAATCAGCCATTTTGAGTCACAGGTAAATAAAATGTGTAGCTTGTATTCACCCGAGATGTCTCCTAGCAAACCTACTTGACTCTTAAATGTCTAATTTCTTCATTTGCAGTACAAATTTGATGTACTGCGTTTTTTCCTTCTGAGTAAATGGCTATAGAGAGCCCAACCCCTCACCATATCTCCCATGACAGTATAACTTCCCTGAGAACATTGGATACAAATTCAGTAAATAATAATAACGAAAGCTTGAAATGCGGACTGTTATTTCACCATTGCAGGGAGGGCTGTGACCAGCTGACCGGTGCGCCTGATCATAGAATTGTAGCGTTGCAAGGGACCCCAAGGGCCATCTAGTCCAAACCCCTACAATACAGGAATCTCCTGTCCAAAGTGGGACTCGAACCCACAACCCACAAGATGAAAAGTCTCCTGCTCTCTTGACTGAGCTATCCAGCCACAGCGCAATCAGTATGCATGGGTTGCCTCTAAGGACATGACATGGAAGTTTGAGAAAAAGCTGTGTGAGCTTGAGAAGGTCCCTTACACCAGGCCCAACCTAGCTCAGTTTGAGGGCATCTCTCCAACTTCTACAATCTGAGCTTTCAGCTCATGAGATGAGTGATTTGAACCTGAGACCTCTTGCATGCAAACCAGGTGTTTTACCACTAAGCTACATGCACCTCCTTGCCCGAGATCCTTCTGAAATATCTTGAATGCCTCTTGAGCTTTTCTTTCAGCGTGGATTAAATTGTTTCCCCGCTCAGTTTTCTTATAAAATTCCATTTTCTGCCCGCTAATTGTATTTCCACCCCCTCACTCCCCACCTTGGTTTCATGTTAAGTTGTCCCCTTCCCCAAGTGCTGCCTATTAGCCAGCCTTCCTCAATTTTTTTTGAAACTGCTAATCTCACGGTTTCTGCGGCTCCCGCCCAGCCTAGACTCTCCCCGTCTTAATTTTGTTTAGACTTCGATTTTAGACTTCGATTTCTTGCCTTTCATCTCCTTTATATATATATATTTCGACCCTCCCTCCCACTTTCAACTTTCATCCTCTCCCAGGGAAGGCGCTTGTACCTCTTTGCTTTTAGTGAAACTCATTTGCATTCTTGAGACTCATTGTTTATGGCAGAGGACTAGTCATTTCCGAATAAAGCGTTCCCTTTTCTCTCTCTCCCGACACCTCGCGCCCTCCGAAGGCTTTGCTCAAATTTTTCTCTGTTTGCACAAAGAAATCGCAAAGAATAAAGAGCGGTACTAGATTTTATTTATCTTATTTTCAAAAGGGTAAGGAGGAGGAGCGGTCTTCCGCCTCAATCAATGTGCTGGAAGCTTTGTCACTGGGAAAGTAGGAATGCAATAACTCTCAGTCCGCCTGGTCCCCAGATGATTTGATAGGGGTGGGAGCAATGCAGGAATCCCCCCCCCACCCAGTTTTGGCTTTCGTGTTTTCATCCTGAGTTTGGGTTTGGAGAGTGGTGAAAGTTTTGGTTTGGAGAGTGGTAAAATTTGGGATAATTGATGTAACCGCGTCTTTCCCTGTTTTGAAGTCAATACAGTGGTACCTCGGCTTACATACGCTTCAGGTTACAGACTCCGCTAACCCAGAAATAGTACCTCGGGTTAAGAACTTTGCTTCAGGATGAGAACAGAAATCGTGCTCTGGTGGTACGGCGACAGCAGGGAGCCCCATTAGCTAAAGTGGTGCTTCAGGTTAAGAACAGTTTCAGGTTAAGAACAGACCTCCGGAACGAATTAAGTACTGAACCCGAGGTACCACTGTAGTTGTTGACTTTCATCCTCCACTATATTTGGCCTCACATTTGGCATGTTTGCAATGTGTGTATGGAAAAAGTGGAGTTATTCCTATATTGTTGTTGTCGTTTAGTCGTGTCCGACTCTTCGTGACCCCATGGACCAGAGCAAGCCAGGCCCTCCTGTCTTCCACTGCGTCCCACAGTTTGGTCAAACTCATGCTGGTAGCTTCAACAACACTGCCCAACCATCTCGTCCTCTGTCGTCCCCTTCTCCTTGTGCCCTCCATCTTTCCCAGCATCAGGGTCTTTTCCAGGGAGTCTTCTCTTCTCATGAGGTGGCCAAAGTATTGGAGTATCAGCTTCAGGATCTGTCCTTCCAGTGAGCACTCAGGGCTGATTTCCTTCAGAATGGATCGGTTTGATCTTCTTGCATTCCACAGGACTCTCAAGAGTCTCCTCCAGCACCATAATTCAAAAGCATCAATTCTTCAGCGATCAGCCTTCTTTATGGTCCAGCTCTCACTTCCATACATCACTACTGGGAAAACCATAGCTTTAACTATACGGACCTTGGTCGGCAAGGTGATGTCTCAGCCGCTCTCTGACAAAGAGATTGGGCTGGTATATAGTAATATAATACAGTGGTACCTTGGGTTACATATGCTTCAGGTTACATACGCTTCAGGTTACAGACTCTGTTAACCCAGAAATATTACCTCAGGTTAAGAATTTTGCTTCAGGATGAGAACAGAAATCGTGCTCCGGTGGCGCGGCAGCAGCAGGAGGCCCCATTAGCTAAAGTGGTGTTTCAGGTTAAGAACAGTTTCAGGTTAAGTACGGACCTCCGGAACAAATTCAGTACTTAACCTGAGGTACCACTGTATATTAGTATATACCAGCCCAATCTCTTTGTTAGCGGCTGCGTGCTTCTCAGCCCTTTCCAGTTCCTACTCACCAGGGGAATTTAGAGGAGCAGAATGCAATTACCGGTGTTGAATTGTAGGCAATCGTTGATCAATAGGTATTTTCCTTATAATCAGTCAGATTCTCTTGTTTGCCTTAGTCTTGTGTGGCTCAGTCAGCGACAGGCTCCGGTACGGGGCAATCAAACTGCAATCTTGCGAACTCCACTATCTGTGCCACTCGCTGTCTGTGCTGTTGGGTTATCAAGTATTTTGGAGAAAGAAGTGCTAACTTTAACATCTTCAAGTGCCTAAGGTGAGAAAAGATGTGTTTTGCTGGGCTGATTCATACCCTAGTTGCTCGTTTGCAAGCATGATGCAGAGGTGCATGTTTCTGAACGTGCAGCAGTTGTGCTTCTGGCGTTAGTGATTTCTGGCACATGGCCACGAGCCTGATTGAGAGGCACACTTCCTCTTACAGTTATACCTCGGGTTACAGATGCTTCAGGTTGCGTTTTTTCGAGTTATGGACCTCCGAAACATGGAAGTACCAGAATGGGTTACTTCTGGGTTTCGGCGGTTGCGCATGTGCAGAAGCACTAAATTGCACTTTGCGCAGATGCGCTGCTGCGGGTTGCGGACGTGCATCCTGCACGGATCACGTTCACAACCCAAGCATCCACTGTAGTTGGATATTTTCTGGTGTGGAATGTACCTGTATGAATAAAGTGGACATTCCTGCTGCTCTAAAAGTACAGATTCATACTTGTGGCAGAGTGGTCATGTTTGCACAGCACAATAAACCAGGGTTGCTGGCTAACCATGGTTTTCTGGTTATGAGCAAACATACAGGCAGTGTTAAACTCCTTAACATACTGTCTATCCTTAACATATACTTTGAGGCTTCAGAGCACATACATTTCAGTAATCCTTGAGTGACAGCCAGGGGCAAAAAAATGGCACCCTGACTTTCAGAGGTACTCGCAAATGGAGAATCTTTAGGCGTGAAATTCGCCTGGCGCCCTTCTAATTTTGAACCCTGCCTACTGGTGGACCCTGCTTGGCTCTTCCTGTGGCACAAGTGGAATAAACTGACAATGGATAGCTCAGTGAGTGGAGCATGAGACTCTTAATCTCAGAGTTGTGGGTTTGAGCCCCACATTGGGCAAAAAGATTCCTGCATTGCAGTGGGTTGGACTCGATGACCAAGGTGGTCTTTTCCAACTCTGCAGTTCTGTGATTCTATGCAGGAAGCCACAATTAAGCTTGGCTTCCTTTGATGTCTGAGCCTAGGATAGTTGTTTGTTGCTCCCTTTAAAAAAACCAGGATCACTACCCAGCCTTATACCATGCCAGTTCACAACAAATGATGATAAACCCTAGTTTATTGTGGTCCGTGAACATGGCAGTGTCTGTCTCTCCATGAAACGGATACCAGTTGCAAATACAATATTAGACAAACTTGCTAGCCTCCGATTAAAATATTTTTAGTAATTAATGTTTCTCAGGTGATTACCCCTTTGCTGTTGTCCCTGGATTTTTGCACCTATTTCAAGAAAAGCATGCTACATTTAAACCACATTAACAGTGTAGGGAGGAAAATAAAAGTAACATGGGGGTACTTCTTTTGAAAACTTCGTTTACAGATTACAAGCTGAATTAATACGCCAAATTAGATCACTCATTAGGGCATCGGAACATTTTCCAATATAAATGGAAAATTATCCAGTGCAAATTGCCCTAATTTGCAGAGAAGATTTTCAATTTGATTTTTGATTTTGATTTGAAAACCCATATCATTTCCTGCCACCCTAGAAACTTGCACAGGTTATTTCAAGGGTCAGCAAACTTACTGCGCCTCGGGCCGGTGTTTCCAGCGCCGATCGCGCGTAGGGTGGGTAGCGCGTGCCCATACGTGTACACACACAATATTTCTGGCGCACTTCTGGGTTGGCGGAGCACCGGAAACAGCTTGTGCGCATGTGCACGGGCCTCCTCTGACCCCAATGTGCAACGGAAATAATGCTTGCGCATGCACACAATGCTTGTGCATGCGCACAAGCTATTTCTGGTGCTCCTCCGACCTGGAAGTGGGCAGCTGCGCAGTGCAGCGCTGGTAAGAGCGGGTGGCGGCAGCAGGCGGAGGGGGTTGCAGCAGGCCAGATAAACGAGTCCCTCGGGCCTTATCCAGCCTGTGGGCCTTAGTTTGGGGACCCCACATTCTAAGAAATGTGGACCATGGCAGCTTTCTAGCAAGAGAATCCTAGGCAGCCAGTGATCTGCAGAAGCTGTGAAATTGATGCTTAGGAAATGGAAATATTTCTCTTTCAGCCATCTTACCTATGGTCACAGCCACCCCATATTTTTTAAAACTCAGTTATGCCACTTTTAACAGTCACGGGGTGGGATTCGCCTAGCCACCCCCTGTGCAAGGACTTCTGCTTGTGCAATGTGACTTCCCCCTTCTCCTTTGCATGTGGCCCTTGCACCCCTGAAATTGGCTTGGCAGGGTCGGGGGAACCCCCAGAACAGCATGTGGGGAAAGGGGAAGGGACTCAAGCACAAGAAGACTCCCTGCTCCTGAGGTTTGCAGCAACTTGTAACAGAACCTTAAAGTCGGCTGTGGAGCAAGTTGGCAACCTGTGTAGCAGCTTCAGGAAAGGTGTTACATGTGTGTGAATGGAAAATAAAAAAAAATCCTTCCAGTAGCACCTTAGAGACCAACTAAATTTGTTATTGTATGAGCTTTCGTGGTATCTGAAGAAGTGTGCATGCACACGAAAGCTCATACCAATAACAAACTTAGTTGGTCTCTAAGGTGCTACTGGAAGGAATTTTTTTTATTTTGTTTCGACTAGGCAGACCAACACGGCTACCTACCTGTGTGTGAATGGGTCAAAGAACCATAGAATTGTAGAACTGGAAGGTCATCTAGTCCAACCCTCAGCAGTCTTTTTGCCCAGCGTGGGTTTGGAACCCACGACCCTAAGATTAAGAGCCTTGTGCTCTACCATCTGAGCTGTTCTGCAGTAAGTAGCCCAGCTGTGGCATTCTGCCCTGGTTGCCGTTCCCAAACCAAATCGACAAGGGCAGCTTCACACAGAGACCAGTTGCGCTGAATGATCTGTGGCTTCTCTTGTAAGAACACTAGATTGAGAGAAACACTTTCTCTGGGAGGAAAAGTGGCCTTTGGTCCTGCCGGGCACAAGCTTGAGCGGTCAAGTGATAACTTGCGCAATGGGTTTCAGATCATTTGGAGACTCCGTTCAGCTGTTATCGACCTTCCCTTCAGCCCAAACTCTGAGTTTAGTGCAGAAATAAAGGAGGGGAGATGGTGTTGTCTGTTGTATTACGGTGACACAGCTGGGTGAACCGCTAGAAGATGAAACTCTCAAAGTTTGACCAGCGCTTGCTACCGAGAGAACATTGTTTCTTCAGCTGCAATGAGCCTTGAAATACCAATTGCCTAGTAAAATGAAATAAAGAGGTAGAATTCATATCGTAGACAAAATAAGAAACACTTGAACGCGGGCTCCTTTTTAAATAAGATTTGTGAAGAGGATTTGTGTCTTGATCAAACATTTATATAGAGTGTTCATTAACTGCTTCTTATTGAAATAATGCGGGGGGGGGTACGAAAGCACGAATAAAAAGTAATCCCGCCCCCCTCCGCAGCATATTAATGTAATTTAAAACCAGCAAATAACTTTTAACAAAGTGCAAGAAGACAAAAGCAAATTAAAAATGCCCCCCAAAAAACAACAACCTTAAAGCAGGCATGCCCAAGTCTGCTATGGGGGCTTAATCTGGCCCTCTGGCCTGTTTTATCTGGCCCCTGTAGCAGTTTATTTATTGGGGTTAAATCCCCCCAAAGCTCAAAAAGTTCCATCCTAAAAAAAGCTCAGCAACCTTGGTCGGCCCTCACGTATGTTCACTTCATCAAATCTGGCCCTCTTTGGGAAAAGTTTGGGCCCTGCCTTAAAGTGAAGAATCGGGCAAACAACTAAGGGCAGTTTTCAACTAAATTATTGCATTAGTAAGGCGAGAACTAACACTAGTGCAAGAGGATTTCCCCCCTCCAAAGAATCCTGGGAACTGTAGTTTTCCCCTCACAGAGCTACAGTTCCCAGCACCCTTTACAAACTGCAGTTCCCAGGATTCTTTGCAGGAAAGCTACACACTTTAAATGCATGGGTGCACATGCAAGGCCAGCCCTAACAATGGGTCGAACGAGGCACCTCAGGTGGCGAATGCAGGAGGGGAGAAGCGCAGGTGAGGGGTTGGTGTGTATGTGCCACATAGCTTGCCCTGTGCCCCACAAGCAGAGGATGTTTCTTGTCGCCAGTGTTGAAGTAAGGTCCAGCTGTATGTCCAGTTTGCTCCAGATAGTTGGGCGTCATATCTTCCACCTCAGGCAGCAAAATGCCTTGGACCAGCCCTGTTCCCTTTAGCTGGAGCTGCCCTTTTGGGAAGGGATCATAGCTCTGTGGGGCAAGGCACACCGTTTGCATGTGGAATGGGTTGTGGGCACCCCCAAAAAAAGACCCATTCCGCAGAAGGAGAAACTGGCGGTGCTCAGAAGCCTTGCCCCCAAACAGGCAACACATCTACTACACCACACTTGAAAACAGACGCAAAAAGCAAGCAGCATCCCTTAAAACAGGCAACCTTCCCAAAAAATAAAAAATGCAGTAGTAGAAAAATGAGAGGGGCAGACAGTACCGGAGGGCGCCATGGCGTTTTGTTTTGCAAGTGGGATTTATGGACCTTCTCCCCCCCCGCCCCCGATGCTGGTGGCTGTTTTTTTGCTGAAAAGCACCTTAATTTAGAACGCTGGCTCCCTGCGTCGGAAAACCTCATCAGTATACACTGGGCAACTGAAATCGCCACAGGAGCCTGGGATAAGCCTGTCCTCCTTTAACTCCAGAACAGTGCCCATGATTAATATTTATACGGAATGCTTTCATGTTTCCACAGCAAAATTGTCTTTCTATCAAAGGAAGTGGTGACTTTTCCCTGTTGAATCTGGGGTGTGTGTTGGGGGGGGAACAGGGGGGTGGAGAAGGGATGAGATCCTTTTATATATATATATATAAAATGTTTTTCTGTATCTGAGACAGACATCAAGCCAGGGAGGGGGAAAACACACACATACCAGGCTTTTCTCTAATTTGGTGTTTCATTTTGTGAAATTGCCTATGCGGAGAAAAATAAAGCATTTACATGTATATGAACCAATGTTCACCAGCTCTTGGAAGGATGCCAGCACTCCCCGGGCCCCAAGAATGCTCTACGCTGAATGAGTAATAATCTACTGTTGTCAGTCCTGATTTATGGAGGGCTAGGCGAGAGCAAGTGTTTGCCGTCTCAAGTCGTCCCGCGCTCGGCGCGTCATCTCTGCAGTGCTGGCTTTCAAAAGTAGGAACTGGAAAAGACCCGGATATCCTTCTTAGGAGCCAAGAGGTAGTTAGGGGGACTGATTTCACATGTGCATGTAACGCAACAAGGTGTAGTTGTGCATGCAAATTGCTGCTTGCTTTGTGTTATTTCACGTGCTTTGTGGGTACGGATTTTTTTTAGCAGGGGAGAGTGGCAGCTGTCAGGCTCGTGGGATCTTACCTGAGCCAGCTGTGGAAAAGACATGCACTCAGCATCAAAGAACCCGGAGCCCAGGAATTCCTTTTGAGGACCAGAACGGAACTCGCAGTCCTTTCTACACAAAAACCCGCTCCTGTCCCGACCAGAGCTTTCTCCATCTCGGCTGAATAATTGGAGGAAGTGCTATTGTTCTCATTGCGAAGCAGTTTGGAATCAGGTCCTTGCCAGCCTACTTCAAATCGCCCAGAGTTCCTAACCTACCTTCTGTTTTAAAATGTGTTCTGAAAGCCATGAGTCATAGCCTATGATAGTCATGATATTAAAAATCTGCCTGTAGTAGTTATTTTCACACATTCGGGATATCACTTGTGGATAATTATTGAGTAATAAGCTGACAGGTGTCATGACTCGCCCTTAGAAATAAGTTCTGTTGGAATTTTAATTGTTTCCTTTGTTTATAATATCTCCTTTTTTTGTTGTTCAGCCCCAAAAGTCCCTCTGTTGTCTTTCAATTATAAACTTAGATAAACACACACACACACACAGCATTATGATAGAGCCATTTAATACACACTCATAAGGAAAACAGAAATTTGATTCAGATCAAATGCCTGGCAGAATAGTAAACCTGCCCAAAAACCATCTAGGATGAAGCTAGCTGGAGCTTGCGAGGAAGGGTGTTGGACCATCTTGGGTCCCACAACAGAACAGGGTCCCAGCCCACTGTGCCTCTGAAGGCAACAATAAAAGTCTCAAATGCAGAATGCAGTGGGTTGTTGTTGTTGTTTAGTCGTGTCCGACTCTTCGTGACCCCATGGACCAGAGCACGCCAGGCACTCCTGTCTTCCACTGCCTCCCGCAGTTTGGTCAAACTCATGCTGGTCGCTTCGAGAACACGGTCCAACCATCTCGTCCTCTGTCGTCCCCTTCTCCTTGTGCCCTCCATCTTTCCCAGCATCAGGGTCTTTTCCAGGGAGTCTTCTCTTCTCATGAGGTGGCCAAAGTATTGGAGCCTCAGCTTCAGGATCTGTCCTTCCAGCGAGCACTCAGGGCTGATTTCCTTCAGAATGGATAGGTTTGATCTTCTTGCAGTCCATGGGACTCTCAAGAGTCTCCTCCAGCACCATAATTCAAAAGCATCCATTCTTCGGCGATCAGCCTTCTTTATGGTCCAGCTCTCACTTCCATACATCACTACTGGGAAAACTGCAGTGGGTAGGAAAGCTCATATGAAGGAGAAGTGGTCCTTTAGATATCCTGGTGCCAAGCCATTTTGGGATTTGTGGCTAGTAACCAGTTCTTGGAAACAAACTGAAAGCCAGTGGTGTGTTGAACAAAACTGGATCAATACACTTCAGCCAGTGCTGTTTTTCAAGAAAAAACAGGTGCAGGAACCCACCGTGAAGCTGTTGCAGTAAGCCAGCGGGCGACTTGGGGCAGACCTTGAACAGATGCTGGTTTGACAACAGCCACGTTCACCGCCTAGCTGGTTTGGGAGTCGCCCCTGGTTCTGGTGAAGGCCAAATCAATGTGTCCCTGACGCTCTCATTCTCTTAGATTTGGGCGGATGGCTAGGGCAGCTCAGAATGGCCATTGCGCAAGTGCGCACACATGCAACAGCAGAGGCCTGGCTAGAAAGCTTCAGGCCCACCACCACTACACGGGAGATGGGTGGAAGAAAAGGAAATATGAATTGGCCCCGTCCTGTAGCTTGGAAAGGAGCAGCCAGGAGCGAAGTGGAGTCCTTGATCTTGAAAAAGTGTAGACTCGCACACACTGCCTGTTTTGACTTGGAGTGTTCGTTTTGGGCTTCTCAGAAGTACGTAAAGGCAAGAAGCGGACGGGGGAATCACCTGCCTGCAATGGCACACACCTGCGAGGTGCCGCGACTGCGTTCTGGTGCGCTGCATCTGAAAAAAGGCACTGGCGGCAGCAACGCCTCAACAGATCCCTGTGACTGAGCGCATGCTGTATAATCTAAACTGGATGTGACCTGGAAATGATGAAAGTCTTAAGTGTTAGCTGCAGGATAATTTTGATCAGGTGAAATATTGGCACACTGACTTTTGCTTGCTTTTCTACTTCAATAGAGGAACCAGCTGTAGCCAACTAAATAATAATAATAATAATAATAATAATAATTTATTATTTATACCCTGCCCATCTTGCTGGGCTTCCCCAGCCGCTCTGGGCGGCTTCCAACAAAATATTAAAATACAGTAATGCATCAAACATTAAAAGCTTCCCTAAAACAAGGCTGCTTTCAGTTGTATTCTAAAAGTCTGGTACTTGTTCTCTTTGACATCTGGTGGGAGGGTGTTCCACAGGGCGGGTGCCACTACCGAGAAGGCCCTCTGCCTGGTTCGCTGTAACTCGGTGTCTCACAGTGAGGGAACCACCAGAAGGCCCTCAGCGCTGGACCTCAGTGTCCAGGCAGAACGATGGGGGTGGAGACACTCCCTCAGATATACTGGACCAAGGCCGTGTCCAGCGTGTTGTTGGAGAGAGATCCCAAATGATGGGTGGAATGTTGTTGTTGTTACACTCCCCCCCCCCCTTTTCCAAATACATTTGCTGTGCAAGAACCTATTGATTTGGATTTCTTTATTTTATTTTTTTAGAAAGCATATTGGTACTCCCACCTGGGTGATGATTGCAGCCATTTCAGATAACCGCACTATCCGAAAGCAGCTTGTGTTTTAGCACGTTGCCACAGAGAGCCAGATCAGAAACGTGTACTTTTCTGGCATGCATCTGAGTGTGTGATGCGGAAGACCAATTGCATTTTTAAAAAGGAGGAGAAAGGCAGCCTCATTTCCATGCCTGAAGCCAATTGGATGGAGCTGTTCTGATGCCTCTTCCCTTTCAAGCACAGGATTCCACCTGGAAATTCCAATCCTGGCAACAGATTCCCTCAGCAACCAACTATCCGTAGCTCAGTCTTTTTTGCACCAGAGAACCACATCCGTTAAGAGTCTCTTCATTCAAATTCAGGATAAATCAGTCGCGCAGGCCTCATGTTCGCTGTAGGTCAGTCTATATCTGCCTTTAAATATATCATTGTATTTGGCAAGGTTTGAGGTGTTCCCTGTGCCAGGTAGCTCGAGCCCTTGACACAAGCACCCGAGGAACTAAAAATATTATTTCCCTTCACCTCGATATATAACCGGTTTGCAAGGCAAGGTTGAGGGAGAGTTCTATATCTGGCGCAGCGGTTGAAGCCGCAAAGCTTTTGGAAGACACACTAGCCTAAGGAAGATGTTTCCTGTCAGCCTTGGCTTAGCCTTTGAAGCGCTGGGGATTTATAGCAGAGAAGAAGTGCTTAATAAATGTGCCCTTGTTTTTCCTTTTAACGAGGATTGCGCCAGAATAGAAACAAGAAAAATCGCGGCAGGCCGTGAAGTGACTCAAGTGTGACGCTGTGAGAAAGCAGAGCAGAAATCCTTGGGTCAACTGTGGGAAACTTTGCCCCTCCGGATATTGCTGAACTACAACTCCCATCATGCCTGGCAAGCATAGCCAATGGCCAGGGATGATGGGAATTGTAGTTCAGCAACAAAGGTCCCCCGTGCCTTCCTTAAAGGTTAAGAGGCCTGGAGAATGTATTGTTGCCTTCCAGGAATGATGTGGAACCAACGATGTGCTCCTCTGAAGCTGCATTAGTGCACGGTTTGCCAAACTTGTTTCTCCAACTGCTTTTGGACTACAAGTCCCATCATCCCTAGCTAGCAGGACCAGGGATGATGGGAATTGTATTCCAAAAACACTTTTAATGACCTTAACATACACATGCAAGATATGCCTTAGGTTAGGAGTAGCCGACAGGGTTCCTTCCAGAGGCTCCGGGCTAGAACTCCCACCACCCTCTACCAGTGGGAGTTGTAGTCCGAAACGCCTGGCGGACAGCCAGGTTGGCAAAAGCTGGCTCAATATCTGTGAGCCGAGGAGCCGTTGCTGCACAGCCAGTGGGAGGTAATTTTCTTTCATTGGTACAGCGACAGGGCGGACGGAAGAATGAGCTGCGGGATTTTGTTCCAAGCCTCCTGTTGTTCTTATTAAAGGGCAATTATGTCTCTGCCTTACCTGTCTATACCAGGCAGAGTCCTGCTGCTTGCTTATTTTTTCTTCTTCTGAGAAAAAGGAATGAATTTCAGCAAAGGGGATTCGGTTTCAGTTTTTGGTTTAGTTTTTTTTTTTTTGTTCTGTACTGTCTTTATGTGTAGGATTAAGAGAGACTGGCAGGGATTTGATTGGCCACCTCCCCCTTTTTCTCTCTCCCGGTGCCCCCCCCCCCAAATCTGTTCTGGGCTGGAGGATCCCCCAATCCTCTGGAGCAGATTTGTGGGGCATGGAGCAAGGGGAGAAGAGAGTAAGAAAGAAAATCTTGTTGCACAGGTGGAGGTCTGTACACCTGTTGACGTGGTTGGAAACACTCCAGCCTAATGTCTACGTTAGATTCCCCCCCTCCCACCCCCAGTCAGTTTCAAATGATTGGCATGTCTCCAGTGTTGTATGTGTGGAGTTTCACTTGCATGGCGGGACTCCCTCTCCTCTCCCTGCAGGCCCCCAAAATCTATTTTGCAGGGTCCCCCATACCCTCTGGATTTTGAGGGGTTTGCCAGGGGGGCTGCAAGGGAGAGGTGGGGCCAGTTCTGATGCTCTAGCAGAACAGCACTGGGTACTACCCACTGCTGCCCATATAATAATAGTGACAATAACAGTAGTATTTATACCCCGCCCACCTGGCTGGGTTTCCCCAGCCACTCTTCCAGCATGTATAATAAAATGTCAAACCCAGAGACCCAGCTCTCTTTCCTGGGTCGATGATGCTTAGAGCCAAGCTACACATGATGTGTCTGAAGCAGGCATAGGCAGACTCCGGCCCTCCAGATGTTTGGGACTACAATTCCCATCATCCCTAGATAACAGGAGCAGTGGCTGGGGATGATGGGAATTGTGGACCCAAACATCTGGAGGGCCGGAGTTTGCCTATGCCTAAAGCAGGGCTTCCAGACTTGGACCTCCAGCTGCTTTTGTACTACAACTCCCATCATCCCTAGCTAGCAGGGCCAGGGATGATGGGACTTGTAGTCCAAAAACAGCTGGAGACCCAAGTTTGGGAAACCCTGATCTAAGGTGTGATATATATGCAACCTGCTCTGTCTGTCTGTCTAATAATGTGTGGAACTGGTAATTAACAGAATCCAAGCAGGTGTGGAAGGGGAAATTTAAGCCCCTGGCCTCCACACCTGCTCTGATCCCATTTATTATCAGCATCCTTACCAGCCGATGCAATAATAGGCATTTATAAAAACGAAACAAAAAACACCTATTTCCAGCCTTTGAAGTTGCATTACTCTCCTGCTGATAAATTGGCTGCTTAATTTGCTTTAGAACCAAACAAACACTTTTATTAGGTCCTTTCCACACAGGCTCGGGGCAGGGGAGAAAGATGAGCTTCACCTCTTCCTCCTTAATAAAGCTAAACCCCAACATCTCCCCTGCCAATCTGACAAGCTGGAAGAGACTAATCAAACAAGCATTCCTTCCAGTCGGGAAGCTCCCTGCGGGCAGCTGCCTAGGCATCGCTTGGTAATTAGGGCTGAATTCCTCCGTCTGCTCACAGAGGAAACTCCTATCCAGGTGAATCTAACCGTTCTTCTTGTTCAGTTCTGCTCTCACTGGCCTGTTACGTGTGGAGCAGGAATCAGGTGGCCTGCATTTCAGCTCCAGTCTCCAAAAGTCCTTCTCCACAGATGGCGCTGAGCTGTCTTTGGCGAGAGTGCATGGGAAATAAACCTTGAATTAATAAGGATGAGATTCTCCTCCATCGTGTACAGTGTTTGAAATTAGACAGGCGTGTTTTGCAACCGGCGCAGGTCCAGTTGCGACTGTGGAGATCTCTGGGTGTTACGTATCTCCACCTGGCTGGTCCCTCCAGCTTTCTTAAGCAGGTAAGCAGAAGAACTTATTCATTGCATTTATCTCTCACCTTTTTCTCCAGGGAATCCATGGTTCACCCCCCCCTCCTCAGTTAACCCTTGCAACGGCCCTGTGAGGTAGGTTAAGAGCAGGCATAGGCAACCTCGGCCCTCCAGATGTTTTGGGACTACAACTCCCATGATCCCTAGCTAACAGGACCAGTGGTCAGGGATGATGGGAATTGTAGTCTCAAAATATCTGGAGGGCCGAGTTTGCCTATGCCTGGTTAAGAGGCTGCAACTGGCTCCAAGGTCAGCCAGGGAGCTTCCTGACTGAGTGGGGATTCGAACCCCAATCTCCCAGGTCTATACCATAAATTAAGTAGGTAAATAAATCCAGGGAAAGCAAAATGTCATAGAGAAGGAGCTGAAATATTTTCCTTGAAGCTTGGAATTGGTTTTATTCTGGACTGTCTTATTTGATGTTTTAATGTGTTGTAAACCACCTTGAAACTTTTTCTTTAAAATACAAAGAGACATAGAAATGAAATGAATAATAAAAATAGAATTAATAAACCTCACTGATTTTTTTATTAAAAAAGGCACGTAGACATTCTGTTTTGGTGACTGCAACCTAGGTTTAAGGTGCCATTTGATGACTAACTTATATATCTGAGTTTCTAACTTCTCAGTGTACCCTTTTCCCCTGGCATGCGAGCAGAGAGAGCGATTTCAGAAACCAATACCATCAAGGAGGTTGGGAACATCTTCTCCATAAGGCAGGGATGGGGAGCCTGTGACCTTCCGGGTGTTTTGGATTATTTGTGTTGCCAGTTAGGTACCGGGCTAAGTTCAAGATGCTGGTTTTGGTACACAATTTGGTACCAGGATACCTGAAAGGTTGTCTCACCCCCTGTATACTACCTAATCGATCATTGTGCTCTGCTGTTGAAGGCCTCTTAGTAAAAGTAAAGGGACCCCTGACCATTAGGTCCAGTTGTGACCGACTCTGGGGTTGAGGCACTCATCTCGCTTTATTGGCCGAGGGAGCCGGTGTACAGCTTCTGGGTCATGTGGCCAGCATGACTAAGCCGCTTCTTGCGAACCAGAGCAGCGCACGGAAACGCCGTTTACCTTCCCACCGGAGCGGTACCTATTTATCTACTTGCACTTTGATGTGCTTTCGAACTGCTAGGTTGGCAGGAGCAGGGACTGAGCAACAGGAGCTCACCCCGTCGTGGGGATTCGAACTGCCGACCTTCTGATCGGCAAGTCCTAGGCTCTGTGGTTTAACCCACAGCGCCACCCGCGTCCCTGAAGGCCTCTTACAGGTGCCCTTGTACCTGGAACCGGGCCTCTAGCGTTGTGGTATCCATCTACCCTTTGCAATTCCCTCTCCTTGAAAATCAGACAAACATAGTCTTGGTTGTGTTTTCACTGTTGGCTGAAGAGCTCTCTCTTCCAACCAAGCTTTTATGAGTTGACCTCTTTCCCAGACTGCATCTGTATTGGAATTGCTTTAAAGAGGTTTTTACAGTTGTTTTATCACTTGTTGCCTGCTACCCTGGGCTCCTTTGGGAGGGAGGGCGTCTCATAAATGCAATAAATACATGACTCAACTCCCCATCATTCATGACCTGGCTGGGGCTGGCGGGTGGGGGACTCAAACTTCACCCAGAGAGCAACAGGTTAGTTTCTTTTGGCTGTAAGGAAAGGTTTTTCTAGTGCATTTTTCACGGGGAAGCCTTCAAGCCTACAAACTCTGTGCCCTGCAGTTTGCAGTGGTGCAATCCAGGAGCAGTTTCACCAACCTGTGCAATGGGTTTGGATAAAATAATTAGCTTGGGGCAGTCACGCAACCCACCCCACAAAAAATAGATGGCTGCCTTAAGTTGGCTCTCTGAGTCCAACTCTTTTCATGCTGTCTGGATTAAATCGGCAGTGGGCAGTTTCTTAAAATGTGCATCTGTTGGCCGGAATTTATGTAGAATAGTATTTTGGGAGTTTGGGGTGGTGTGCAGGAAGAGAAAGGCAGGGCAGGGGAGAATGTGGGCAGCCTAAGAGCTCTCTTGCTGGCTCTCTTGGCCTAAAGTCCTGGGGCTTGTTTTCGTACTGCTTTTCTTCCGTGCCAGAATCCCCTTTGGTTTTGTGGTTTTAGAATTAACAGCCCGTTTCTGCTGTGGGCCTGGTCCTGCCAAGTCCGGAGCCTGAAAGGGAATATCTGTGCCAGGATTTTAATGACCAACTGAGATGAGAATCAAAAGCGCTGATGGTTCTTTATCTGTGCTTTTCCCCTTTTTTGCAAAACCGTGAAGGCAAATGAGGCCAACAAATTCCTTGCACAGATGCTGCATTGCATAGGATGAAAGAACTGGTATAGCTGTGAAAGAGTGTGTGTTTGTGTGCATTTTTGCAGATATGTGGAACCAGACGGGCGTTTTTGTCTAGGCTGTTTGTTCCCTTATCTCCAGTGCCCATTTCCATCAAGGGTGTTATCCAGATCTCCAGCGATGTGCTACAGTTTGCATGCATGCCTTGCCCGCTTCTATAAATGCTGTTGGGACAACAGTTGTCTTTGTTCGGGTGAGGAGGAAGCTGCTGGGCCAGCAGCTTGCTCACGAGTAGCCCAACCAATAATCAGCTCAGCGCAGCTGGTCTGCAGGTGGACAAGGATGAAGCGGATGAGAGGCTGCAGGCTTTCAGATTCCTCCTAGTGGCTTATAAACCCTCAGAGGGAATCAGGAACGTAGGGTGCTGCCCTATAGGGAGTCAGACCACTGGTACATTGTGTAGTACCTACGGGACCGCCTCTCTGGTATGCCCCGCGGAGGACCTTAAGGTCCACAAATGACAACATTTTGGAGGTCCCAAGTCGCAAGGTGGTTAGATTGGTCTCAACTAGGCCCAGGGCCTTTTCAGTACTGGCCCCGACTTGGTGGAACGCTCTGTCAGAAGAGACTAGGGCCCTGTGGGACGTGACATCTTTCTGCAGGGCATGCAAGACAGAGCTGTTCCATCTGGCCTTTAGTTTGGACTCAGTCTGACCCTTATGTTTCCCTCCCCTTATGGTTTTGATCTATGGGCTACTTTTAAAATGAGGCTGCATTTTAAATTGCATTTTAACCTGTATTTTAAATTTGACCCCCCCCCTTATGTTTTTACTGTAATTTTACTGGTGTTAGCCGCCCTGAGCCTGGCTCTGGCCGGGGAGGGCAGGGTATAAATAAAATGTATTATTGTTTATTATTAGTAGTAGCTCAGTTGGTAGAGCATGGGACTCTTAATCTCGGGGTTGTCGGTTTGAGCCCCATGTTGGGCAAAAGATTCCTGAGCTCTGACCTTCCTAGCAGATATTGGTCAAGCACAGACGATTGTGCAATTATTTGGCAAGGCACACTATTCTCTTCACTTTATGTAGACAAATACTTTTAAATGATGGCATGTCTCTTCCACCCCCCTTTTTGTTGCTGTCATTCATAAGTGGTTTAAGTGTCTTTTGCTAAGTGCAGTGGTTTGGTGGTATTTTGGTGGTTGGTCATCTTCGTTCCCCCCCCCCCTTACTTTTGAGACACTGAGTGATTTTGAGCAAATAACTGCACCGTTGAGACAAATTGCTCTTTTTCAAAAGAATCCTTCACAGTTGTTGTAGATTTTAAACTGGGAAGCACTGAACAAACACGCGATCCCCGAGTTGTGTTTGCATCGCGTAGTGGGTGTCAACGTGACGCCTTGCAATTTAGACTTAATCATCACAGGTCGATAGCAAAGTGCAAATGGTTTTCCTTTCCTTTGCAGCCCCCCCTTTAAAGCACACCTCCCCCCTTAAATGCGTAGGGTTTTGTGGGGTATGATGTCAGCATCGCCCTTGAGCCAGTGCCACCAACTGGACTCATCCACTTCAGCCCCGACTGGGCTAGGCGAGCTGGGTAGCACTTCCAGAGACCACCTTCTGCACAGGAACAGGTCAAAGTGCTGTGGACTCACAGCTTAGAGTTGTGAGCACCGGATTCACTCCCACAAGAAGACAGTCGTCGCACAGCAGAGTACAGCAGAGTCTAGCAGAGTATATAAACAACTCGGAGAGCAGCTCTGTAGAATATCTTCTTTATTCTATAACTACAACTATTATACAACTATATACAGAGCTAAATAGGTCTAAGCATAAATGAATGCTGCACTGCACTGAGTGTCTGCAGCTGCTCTTAGCAGCAACCTTATCTCTACACACGATCTCTAACACTTAGTGTCTCTCTCTCTCTCCCCGACACTGACTGACTGACTGACTTGGTGCTGGAGCAGAATAAGTAGAGAGCAGAACACGCCTCCTCCTCTCTGGAGAATCAGCAGACTCCTCAGGAGATTCTTGGATATGGGAGGCGTGAAATCTCCTCATATATAAGAAAGGAAAATGTTTGAAAGCCAAGCTAAACCTGCCCTCAACGGTATCTGCATCCCCCTGTCTGCTGCCCATGAAGCCGCGCGGTTTTAATTTGGCGCAAAATTGCACCGAAGCCTAAAAAAAGTATAGATTGTCAGGCTTCTGCATTCTAACGACTTCTGAGCATCACATTTAGGAATTTCCAGTAGAAGTGGCTCAGTCTCCAAGGGAACAAACAATATCCATTCTCATTTAGACGTCCCTCGTGGCTGCTCTGCACCTGTTTTTCTGCATAGAAGTGGCATTTGTGTAGAAACTGCGCACATTATTAGCACATGACTTACGCATCATTCCCCCTTTAGAAGAGCAGAGTGGGTTGTTGCGAAGTAACATGCTTTTAGGATCGTTGCCCTGATTTTTGAGCAGGTGTCTTGCGTGTGAGTGTGCAGAGTGGGAGAACTGGGATGGGGAAAGATAGGCCAAAGGGGGGGGGTGTTGAACACATAGGGGGACGCTTTTTGAAAAATTGCTCCCCCACCCCAATTTATTAAAGGGTCCTCCAAAACCCACAGGGGCCAGGGACTGTACAGGTCGTGACTGTAGAGATCTATGCATGCTAAGCCTCACGGTCCGGTCTACGGGCGATTGAAGTCCCGGCTGAGGACGTTGGGACCAGGGGCAAGATGGCGGGGTGGTAGCAGGAACGAGAGTCCAGAAGCCAGGGGTCCGAGGGTCAAGAAGCAAGGAGTCACAAAGCCAAGGTCCGAGGATCAGGAAGCAAAAAGCCAACCACAGCAAGGCAGGGAACGTGTTGCTGTGGCAAAGAGCCGAAGGGAAATGCTGACTTTATATCCCTTCCAGGCTTTTGCCACCAGGTGCAGCGAGTTACCAAGCGGCCTCACCTGTGTGGCCGCACCTTGCCTCTCCAGAACAAACTTAGGAAGGCCCCAGTCCTGCGAAGTCCTACTGGTTCCAGGGCCTGGCTCCTGCAGGCACTCCTGACACTAAGGGCCTTACCGCCAGGTGCGCTGGGATTCAGGTGGAACGGTGAGCAATTGCTTGCATCCTAGCCTGGGTCCAGAGCAGAAGGAAGGAGTTGAAGGCATGTTATTGTTTTTCTGTATAGGCCCATCGGTCTGCCGGTTTCTGCTCCAAGGAGCTTACAGTTTAAAAGTCATCGTAGGGAAACAACAGTAGTGGTAGACTCCCTCCTTGCAGGGTTTTAAGCAGAGGTTGGATGACACACCTGTCCTGTATGATTTCTGCATCGGACTTGGGTAAAGATTTGATGGCGAATATGTTTCACACACTTATGCTTGTGCAAGGTTATTTCAGTGCATTCATCAGAATGTATAGGAACACCAGGAAGCTGCACTGTACGGAGTCAATCTAGCTAAATATTGTTTGCACTGACTGGCAGCAGCTGCCTGAGATTTCAGACAAAGGCGTCTTTTCCAACCATACCTGGGGACACCAGGGATTGAAACCTGCATATTTTGCAGGTGAGGCATGTCGTAACCTTTCCCACAAGTGCTGTGTCACAGAGATGATATCCGTGTTGAATTTTAGTCAGGCATCCCTAAGATTTGGGGGGGTTAATTTGAACCGATGCACACACTATTCATTTCAAATAAAACATAGTTGCAGATTGCATTGCATTGCAGAAAAGGAATGATGGTGAAAGAAAGCTTCGCAGAAGTAGCTTGACGCTCCGCAAATAAATTCCCAGTTGGAACGCAGAGTTCCTTTTTTCTCTGAAAGGTATCACAGAGTGCTTCTCCTTGCTGCGAGCTCGCAAGGTAAATCTATTTCACAAATTCAACAGTGCAGCTCAATTTTAGCCATCTCCTTAGATCTTTTAAGGAGTCTGAAAGGTCTTTTTAATGTTCTACTTGCCAATTCTAGTCCGGCAATCTCCAAGCCCGTGCCAATGTCGTCTTTCCGACAAACGTTTCAGATCTTGTAGCAGCATCACCACGGAATTCAGAATGAGCCACGAGGGCTATGCTCCCCCTCAGCTGTTGAAGTCAGTACAGTGGTACCTCGGGTTACAGACGCTTCAGGTTACAGACTCCGCTGACCCAGAAATAGTACCTCGGGTTAAAAACTTTGCTTCAGGATGAGAACAGAAATCGCGCGGCGGCGGCCGCAGCGGAAGGCCCCATTAGCTAAAGTGGTACCTCAGGTTAAGAACAGTTTCAGGTTAAGAACGGACCTCCAGAATGAATTAAGTACTTAACCTGAGGTACCACTGTACAGTGGTGCCTTGCAAGACGAAATTAATTCGTTCCGCGAGTTTTGTCGTCTTGCGATTTTTTTCGTCTTGCGAAGCACGGTGTCGGGAAAGTTTTGGAAAAGCTTCAAAAATCACCAAAGTCTTTAAAAACCTCAAAAAAGGCTACCACACCGCGTTCTATGAGTTGCTCCTCGAAGTCAAGTCGCAACTGTATTAACGGTGTTAAGAAAAAGGAAGCAAACTTGCAAGACGTTTCCGTCTTGAGAAGCAAGCCCATAGGGAAAATCGTCTTGCGAAGCAGCTCAAAAAACAAAAAACCCTTTCCTCTAGTGAGTTTTTTGTCTTGCGAGGCATTCGTCTTGCGAGGTACCACTGTATATATCTTTTGAAAACTGTATTATTTAGACAGGGTTTTGAAGCATGATTCGCCCCCCTTTAAACCAACTAACGTTTATTGATGTTTTTATTTATGTTACTGAAATGTTGTGTTTTATGTTACAGGCTGCTTGTTATATTTTTTATGCAACTGCTGTATACATATTTGAATAGGTAGTTGGTTCCCTGTTATTTCTATAATATTTTTCTCCTCAACTCCCCAAATATGGGATTTTTTAAACAAAATGTGACCACAAGCAGTTATCGTATTCTGCATTCCTCAAGGCACACTTCTTACATTATTGATCTGCCCTGATTTTGCAGGCGTTAAATAATGTCTAACCCCAAATTTTATGGAAATTTCCTTTTTATAATTGTGGCAGTTGGGGATTGCAAATTCATCCCCTATAAATCCCTACTTATTTTGATGGCCTGCCTGTGAGCCCATAAATCTCTGTGTTTGATTAGCGGATTATTGGCTGTTCTTTGGATTTGTAAACGATATACGTTGCTCAAGAGACCCTCGGACCCTTGATAATACATGCAAAGGTTTTATCAGATAATGCCAGCTTTCTGGCAAGTTCCGTTTGTCTGCCAAGCATTTTTTCTTTAAAGTAAGAGAGCCTAATTTGCAGGAGTTGATAAAGGGTGGCCTTGAGATTAATCGTGAGACATACATAGTTATAAGTTATTAAATTATTCCTTAGAAAGAAATCACAGCATAGCACTTTTCATGCCTTCAATACATGCATCCGGTCAACCAGTGGGAATTGAATGGGGGTGTAGAAATGTAGGTCAGGGTGGAGAGATTTGGTTCTGTTTCATGTGGCTGACCATACCTGTAGCATTCAGAAGCCCTTTCCCACCTTTCACAGGCAGTTTCAGATTTATAAGCCAATAACCACATTTCAGATTTATAAGGGAATAACCAAAAGGCACCTTAAACCTAGGTTACAGTCACTACAACGGAATTCCTGGGTGCTGTAATAAATGAAATTTATCACAGTGTGGTTATTGTTCAGTTCATTTCTATACTGCTTTATATTTTAAAGAACATAATATCAAAGTGGTTTGCAACGCATTAAAACATAGCTTTCCCAACCTTGTGTTGCTACACGTTAGTGTAGGGGCTGGTTTAATCTCTGTTTTGCTGGTAAAACTGAAATTACCGCACCATGGAATGATGCGTGTCTGCAAAGTGCGTCACCGACATGAAAAGTTTGGAGAGCTCTGCGTTAAAACATCAAATTAAACAGTCCAGAATAAAACAAATTCAGACTTCAAGGAAAAATATTTCAGATCCTTCTCTGAGGGACGTTTTGCTTTCCCCATATTTGTTTTATCTATAGCTGCCCCAGAGCAGAAGTACTCTAGGGAACCCGGGTGCTGTAATGGTTAGAGTATCGGACCAGGACCTGGGTTCAAATCCCCACCCAGTCAGGAAGCTCCCTGGGTGACCTTGGAGCCAGTCGTAGCTTGTTAACCTCACAGGGCCGTTGTAGGGGTTAACTGAGGAGGGGGTGAACCATGGACTCCTTGGAGAAAAAGGTGGGAGATAAATTCAATGAAAATAAGCCCTTCTGCTTACCTCAGGCATCCTCAAACTTGGCCCTCCAGATGTTTTGGGACTACAACTCCCATCATCCCTAGCTAACCGGACCAGTGGTCAGGGGTGATGGGAATTGTAGTCCCAAAACAGCTGGAGGGCCAAGTTTGAGGATGCCTGGCTTACCTGCTTAAGAAAGCTGGAGCCGCCAGCCAGGTGGAGATGTCAGTCGCCTACTTGGCATTCAGAGATCTCCACGTGGTCGCAATTGGATCCCCTGCCAGATGCAAAACGCGCCTGGCACCTGCCTAATTTCTAACACTGTTCTGTTGGATCCATGGAGAGAGTAGGGTGGGGATAGGAGCAGTCCTGTGCTTTTTTTCCTGACAAATTTTGCTTACCATAAACCTAACTCTGCTTGTTCAAACTGGGAAGGAAAGAGCGGGAAAGTTCTATTGCTTTTCACTTTTCATAATACAGTGGTACCTCAGGTTACAGACGCTTCAGGTTACAGACTCCGCTAACCCAGAAATAATACCTCGGGTTAAGAACTTTACTTCAGGATGAGAACAGAAATCGTGCTCCAGCGGCGTGGCAGCAGCAGGAGGTCCCATTAGTTAAAGTGGTACCTCAGGTTAAGAACAGTTTCAGGTTAAGAACGGACCTCCAGAACGAATTAAGTTCTTAACCCGAGGCACCACTGTACTAGGTTCTGTCATACGTTCGGAATTTCCCGGATAGAACTGGGATCCATCTGTCAAAAATGGCGTCCGGGCGGAATTTTTGAAAGGCGGCTAAAATGTTTGGGGAAACCTATGTGGATGGCAGCCCATATCGGCAGTGTTTGTTTCTTGGGTGATTTTCCTAAGTAACAGGTAAAAAGATCTTCCGGGGGGGGGGGGGAGATTTTGCCATACTCAACAGAAAAATGGTTTTCTTAGAGTGGCTCCTTCCCTGTGCCATTCTCAAATTGTTCCCTGTAAACAGACAGTTTCAACAGCAGAGAGGAACCACATACGCCATGGAGTATTTCCTTGGAGGAAAAAGATTCCTGGATTGCAGGGGGTGGGGTTGGACTGTGGACTTTTAAAAGAGTATTGGGAAATAATGTATAATGAATTGGAAAAAATGTTTAAATGTACTTTTCCAACCCCAACCCCCCCCCCAAAAAAAACCCAGAGTCCTTTTCGTTGGGGATAATTCAGATAGAAATTCCCAGGTGTCAAAAAAGGCTATTTATGAATGCCACCACTGCAGCCCGTGTTTTGTTAGCCCAAAAATGGAAAATGAGCGAGGTCCCAACTAAAAAAGAATGGCGACTCATGGATATTACAAGCTACCGTATTTTTTGCTCCATAAGACACACTTTTTTCCTCCTAAAAAGTATGGGGAAATGTGTGTGCGTCTTGTGGAGCGAATGGTGCTGCACAGAGATGGAGAGATTTTTCTTCTTCTTGTTTTCCTCCTCTAAAAACTAGGTGCATCTTATGGGTGGGTGTGTCTTATAGAGCGAAAAATACGGTAACTGCTTCGCAGCCTCTTTCTCCCCCGCCTGTAATATGCAGACCATAATAATAGTGGCTTACCTGGCTTACCTTACAGGGGCGTTGTAAGGGTAATTGAGATAATATATGTGAAAGTGCTTTGAGCACTCAGAAAGCTGTAATGTGAATGCTAAGTAGGGTTACTGCATATGTGATGGCCGCAGGCAGTGATCAGGGCAAAAAAAATATCTTCTTCCTTCATCCCCTGCTATAGAAGAGATGTCACCTGTGAAGCAGTCCCGAGACACTTGGAATTATTAAAACCTCATTGAAATAGCTCTTTCCTCCCTTTTTCTTTCTTTTTTTTTTTACTTCCTGTCATTCTGGCAGAATGTGGGGATTATTTTCATTTCTTCCAAATGCAATCGGAAAGCCCGGAAACTTTCCGAGCCGCACTTAACTGTAAAAAGCGATGTTTTTGTTAATGGCAGGTCAATTTTGATTTAGGCCTGTAATTTGGCGGGGGCGGTGGGGGGGGGGATAGCTATCTCCCGTCTGAAGGATGGCAATTTCATGTGCTCTTCTAATACTCCTAGAATTGCCGTGCATATAACTAAAAGCTTTTTACCCTTGAAAATAACGGAACCGGGGAGGGTGGAGGTGGGGGGGGACATGAACAGATCATAATACTTCAGTGGTATGTAATGGGCTGCCGGAAATTTCTGTGATATGCTAGAAAATTTATCTTCATGCACTAGAGGAAAGTTTCTGCTCTGTGTTGCAGTGCAGACAGAATACTAACAGCCACTCAGCCATTTTTAGGAATTGGGGAGTGTGTTATGGGGTCCTCCGTTCCCTCCTACTTCCTTTGCGGTTCCCTCACTGCAAGAAGTAAAGTTACAGGGAATCAGGGAGAGGGCCTTCTTGGTGGTGGCACCCTCCCTGTGAAACACCCTCCCACCAGATGTCAAGGAGATAAACAATTATAGGACTTTCCGTAGACATCTGTATCATGTGTCAACTTTTTTTTTTAATTTGCATTTTATTTATTTGTTAACATTCTTATATTACATCGGTAAACGTTGTCATATTACATTACAGGACTTACTATAATATAATTTCCAACATGTATACAAAAATTATATACAAATTTTATATACCAAGAAAGAAAATGAAACAAAAAAAAGAACAAAGAGGAAAAAACAAAAACAACCCCCCAAATCATATACACACTAGATTTCTTGTCTTTCCTGTTGTATATTCCTTTTTTACAAGTGAATGTACTCTTATTATTGTATATTTCTTTACATATTATCTAATACATTCCTATATCAATACGTGCTCTTAGTTTTATTTCTCAACTCAGTGTCACTCCAACGTCAATCAAATGCTAGCATAGATAGCAAACCTTTACTGTATTTTTGAACATACGTTTTATATCTATCCCATTTTTCCATAAATTTTTGTTTTGAATTGCCTCTCAGGGTATTTCTTAACTGCGCCATTTCAGCAAATTATTGTAGCTTGTAATGCCAGTCCGTTATTGTCTGGGCTTCTTGTTCCTTCCCCCCCTTTGCCACCAAAGTCCGCGTCATGTGTCAACTTTTAATGGTTGTTGTTTTACAGTGGTTTTATAATTTGTTGGTCCACAGTGGCTGGGGGCAACCCGGTCAGGTGAGCGGCATATAAAGCATAAAACTATTATTCTTAAAAATTCCCTTTGTTAAGTGTGGTGCATTATTATTACACCTGAACCAAATGTGAAAGGCCACAACATAAATGGCTTCTGAGAATAGGTTTGCCCTCCCCACACCTCTTGTAGGTATAATTCTTCAATACATTACTTTTAAATGATGCTTCAGGTATATTTTATTTTTTAAATCCAAACCCTGCTGACCTTGATAAATAAGAATGTTTAAGTATTTTTTTTTTTTAAGAAAGAAAGAAAAAGTTCAGTAGCTTTCAATGCAGTGACTTGAAAATTACAAGTATCTGGTCTTTTAAAAATGCTTAGTGGAACTACTCAAGGACAGTTCTTTATTTTCCTGGTCATTTATTTGCTTTCAGCATTTGCTTGTAGACTGAGCCAGCTTTGGGGATAAAATGGAGCCGCTGGCATCAAAAGTTCCTTTCTGGGTTGTGAGCACTTAATAAAGCGAAGGAACGTCTAGCTTAGAAGTAGGCTTCATCACCACCAACCTTATAAGAGACAAGACACACACAAAAAGCTGCCATTCTGACAATTCCAGGGCTTATTGGCACTTTGCAATACGTTCGAAAGTGGTGAATTTCATCCATTGTGGGACTTAAAAGGTAAAGGGACCCCTGACCATTAGGTCCAGTTGTGGCCGACTCTGGGGTTGCGGCGCTCATCTCGTTTTATTGGCCAAGGGAGCCGGTGTACAGCTTCGGTCATGTGGCCAGCATGACTAAGCCGCTTCTGGTAAACCAGTGCAGCGCACAGAAATGCCATTTACATTCCCGCCAGAGCGGTACCTATTTATCTACTTGCACTTTGACGTGCTTTCAAACTGCTAGGTTGGCAGGAGCAGGGACCGAGCAACGGGAGCTCACCCTGTCGCAGGGACTCGAACCGCGACCTTCTGATCGGCAAGTCCTAGGCTCTGTGGTTTAACCCACAGCGCCACCCGCATCCCTATTGTGGGGCTTATAACCCTCTTTCTAAAGCCTTCCAAGTTGGTGACCACCACTAGGTCTTATGATGGCAAATTCTATGCATGGTCTTGGGTGCTCCAGTAGTTCTGGAGGGAAAGACCTCAAGTTATGGACCTCAAGTTAGAGAGACATTGGTGTAGACAGTACTGAGCTGCGTAAGGCAGGTTTTCCCCCCCTGTGTACATAGGAAGGTCCATAGTTTAGTGCTAGAACATCTGGCTTGCATGTAGAAGACCCCAGGTTCAGTCTTTGATATCTCCAAGGTAGGAATGGGAAATGTTCCCAGTCTAAGACTCTAAGCTTGATGGAGCAATCTAAGTTGTCATCTTCTGTTCCTATGTTTTGACTGCTTCATTTTCTTCTCCAATCTGATTTCCACTATGTGTGTTGGAATCATAGAGTCTTAGAGTTGGAAGGGATCCAAGGGTCATCTAGTCCAACCCCCTGCAGTGCAGGAATCTCAGCTCAAGCATCCATGGTGGGTGGCCATCCAACCTCGGCTTAGAAACCTCCAAAGAAGGAGAATCCACAACCTCACGAGGGAGTCCGTTCCACTGCAAAACAGCTCTTACTGTCAAAAGTTGTTCCGAATGTTTAGTCGGAATCTCCTTTCTTGCAACTTGAAGCCATTGGTTCGAGTCCTACCCTCCAGAGCAGGAGAAAACACGCATGCTCCCTCCTCCATTTGACAGCCCTTAAGATATTTGAAGAAGACTGTCATATATCCTCTCAGTCGCCTCTTTTCCAATCTAAACATATGCAGCTCCTTCAAGTGTTCCTCATAAGGACTGGTTTCCAGACCCTTGATCATCTTGGCCGCCCTCCTGTAAACACATTCCAGCTTGGGAATATATATCCTTCTTAAATTATGGTGCCCAGTACTGGACGCAGTATTCCAAGTGTGGTCTGACCAAGGCAGAATAGAGTGGGACTATTCCTTCCCTTGATCTGGACACTAGACTTCTGTTGATGCAGCCTAGAATAACATTAGCTTTTTTTTGCTGCTGCATCACACTGTGGACACACATTAAGCTTGTGTTGTGTTTCCATACTGTAATAAATGTAGGGGTTGCTCGTGCGCAAGTTGGTGCCACTCCTGGCTAGGTTGCCTTGTTAAACCTTTTCTGTCTGGACAGCCCTGCACTTCGTGGCTGTTCAGTCGCTAGCAGAATCCGTCAGTGGGCGTTTCTTAAACCTTTTCCAGCATAAAAGTTGTTTGACTCCAAGTCTCCTCCTACTCTCCCTGCGCGGAAGTCTTCTGCGCAGGGAGGGCGTGGGTAGCGGAGGACCCGTGCTCTCCTCGCTGATCTCCGGCGAGGAGTCCTGGAGGCCCCTCGCCGCTGCCCCCATCTGCACCCCTTTATCCCTGGTGTTACGCTGATTTCTTTCCCCAGCTGGTGAGCCGCCTCTCCCCCTGCTGGGCCCTTCTCCAGCATCGCTTGAGAGCATAGCCTCCGCCTCTGGCTCCGATGTCAGTTCCCTGACACATACATTGCAAAATAAGTATGGCAACACCGCAGCTGACTTGGAACAACCATATTGCAAGTCTTGGTGCACATGTGTGCAGACTCCACAGAAACTGGCTTTGCTCTACTTACGAAGCAGATCCTTTCATGGTCTCTTTTCCCTCGCAGATCCCTCCTTTCCATCCCTTGGTTTGCTTTCTGCTGTCTAGATAACAGCCATGCGCCAACTGAGATTTGTTTTTTGTTTTAAAGAAGCTTTCTCTAAAACAGTGATTTCTTAAAAAAAGAAAAGTAACTTAGTCATATTCTCTCACCTGGTGTAGATTTCTGCGCGACCATCAGGCATCCGCTGATGGCAAGAGTGACATTGTCTCCCATAATATGCTGCCAAGGGGAGGGGGAGATAGAGGAATTTTGACAGTAGGTACAGTTCCTTCTGAGGGACACGGGTGGCGCTGTGGGTTAAACCACAGAGCCAAGGGCTTGCCGATCAGAAGGTCGGCGGTTCAAATCCCCGCGACGGGGTGAGCTCCCGTTGCTCGGTCCCTGCTCCTGCCAACCTAGCAGTTCGAAAGCACGTCAAAGTGCAAATAGATAAATAGGTACAGCTCCGGCGGGAAGGTAAACGGTGTTTCCGTGCGCTGCTCTGGTTCGCCAGAAGTGGCTTAGTCATGCTGGCCAGATGACCCAGAAGCTGTATGCTGGCTCCCTCGGTCAATAAAGCGAGATGAGCGCCGCAACCCCAAAGTCAGTCATGACTGCACCTAATGGTCAGGGGTCCCTTTACCTTTACCTTTACAGTTCCTTCCAAAACCCTTGGTTGAACTGAAGACAAACCTCTTCTCCATTCCAAGACTGAGAAGAAGGGAGAATGCATACCTGTTTGATACAGGAACGTGCATAGACACCTATATGTGCTGCATTGTAAACATTCCAAGTTTGGTATGGCAAGAGGCTCTGGAGGGATCGGCTCCCTGGTGGTGGTGGACCCTACACAGACAACTGGGAAACACTGGCCTGCGAGTGCCCCACCTGGAGAACAGCCTTTACCAAAGCTTTCATGGGCTTTGAAGGTGCTTGAACTCAGGACGAAAGGGAGAAACGTGCGAAGAGGAAGGCACGCTTGGCAAACCCTCACCGTGATCAGCTCCTGCCTGGAAACCTATGTCCCCACTGTGGAAAGACGTGTGGATCCAGAATTGGCCTCCACAGTCACTTACAGACTCACTGTTAAGACTTTGTTCATGGAAGTCAATCTTACTCGATTACGAGTGATCACAGAAGAAGAAGAAGAAGGTGGTGGTGCACCCAGCCCAGAAGATGTGGAGAGCTTGCCAACACTTGACAGAAGGAGCTTGCTTTGTATTGTGGGGATTATTTCCTGGTATGTTCTTTTCCCATATGAGTCCAGAACATTTGCTTACTCCATGGGTAGACAAACTAAGGCCTGAGGGCCTGATCCGGCCCAATCGCCTTCTCAACCCGGTCCGCGGACGGTCCAGGAATCAGCGTGTTTTTACATGAGTAGAATGTGTCCTTTTATTTAAAATGCATCTCTGGGTTATTTGTGGGGCATAGGAATTCGTTCATTTCCCCCCCTCCAAAATATAGTCTGGCTCCCCACAAGGTCTGAAGGACAGTGGACCAGCCCCCTGCTGAAAAAGTTTGCTGACCCCTGGCTTACTCCTTTATAACATTTCCGTTTGGCCTCCCTCGCTGTTCTGATGCTGCTTTACAAAAACAACGCACTGCAAAACCCAGCACTTTGGGGAGAAGAGAGCGGGGAGCAAGCTCTCACAGCCAACCGCAAGCTGCAGATCCAAACCACAACACTGTTCAACACCGCAATTTGGACTGCCAGGGGTCCCCATTCTGCAATGGGGTCCCGAGAACCCATTCTGTGCGTGAACAGCTCGCGATATATCTGTTTGGCCACACACTTCTGAAAATTGTGGAGCATACAATGGTGCATTCTGCAGATACACAATTATGGATGCCGTGTGAACCTGTGGGCCAATGAATACCCGATCCCCTGTCTACATCTGTGAAATTTTCCTGACAAAGCCTGTTCTCTTGAAACTCCAGGCGTGACCATTCTTTCGCAGAGCGCTTTAATTCTCCTGCCCTTGCCAGGGGGGAAGTGAGCTAAGTTTTGAGCTGTCCACAGAAAGCCCTTTGATTCCTGCTCCTCCTGCCTTCAGAGATGATGAATGCCCCTTGGGTATGAATGCAGTGAGAAAAGATCCATGTTTCCTCCTTGCACTGTCTGCCTTGCATATAAGCAGAAGGCTGTAGACCTCTGGCTGGGACCTGTTGTTCAAGATGGCAGCCGAGGGCCCCGTTATCGACAGGACACTTAATTCTCGTTATTGCCATCAAGCCCTTAGCTGGTGTTATCTTGTTTGTCCGGCTGCCTGGAATGAATGGGGTCCTGCCTTGTAGCTGAATTAAACTTGGCCACAACTTTGGTGGCCTTGGAGAAGTGTCTGCGGCATGATGAAGTGCTGTAATTTTTCCACAAGGAGAGCATTGTTAAGGCTGTCTGGGCCTTGGTTTCCCAGAGAGACGGCCTGGCTTTTTAGGAATGCTTTGGGTAAAAGCTCCTAAGCTATTCTAGGTATTCACAACAATGTCGGGGTGGGAGGAATTGGGTGAAAGGAGCACAGGGCTCCTATGATTTCAGAAAAATAAAAGTCATGTACAGTGGTACCTCAGGTTTCATACACTTCAGGTTACATACGCTTCAGGTTACAGACTCCGCTAACCCAGAAATAGTGCTTCAGGTTAAGAACTTTGCTTCAGGATAATAACAGAAATCATGCTCCGGCGGTGCGGCGGCAGTGGGAGGCCCAATTAGCTAAAGTGGTGCTTCAGGTTAAGAACAGCTTCAGGTTAAGTACGGACCTCCGGAACGAATTAAGTACTTAACCTGAGGTACCAATGTACCGGGAAGCTTTTTATTGTGACGTTTTATTATGTTTTTATATTTTACTGGAAGCTGCCCAGAGTGGCTGGGGAAACCCAACCAGATGGGCGGGGTAGAAGAATCAGAAGAAGAATCAGGGGAAGACAGGTTTTATTTACTTTTACTTATTTTACAAAACCAGCATTATTTTACAAAACAAAGTGAGTTGTTTGTTTTACATATTGTACAAAGCCAGCCTTCGCCAGCCTGATGTTGTGTACCACAACTCCCATAACTGTGCTGGCTGGGACTGATGGGAGTTGTAGTCCCAGGAGTGCACCTAGGGGGAGAAGGTGGCTTGTAAGTGATGTATAGGCAAAGGAGATTTAAAATCTGAATGCAACCAATGCAGACGGTTAATGCATGAAAACGCACCAAAGTTCCAAGGCTTTCTTTTGTCCCCCTGTTCAACAGGATCACCAAAAAGTCTCCCCTCTTTCCTCCCCGAGAGTTATGCTGCTAAAACCAAGAAATATTTTGGAGGGCAAGAGGATGGGAAACCCGGAGTAGATTTTTCTGTGTGTTAAACGATTGTGAGCTTGGTTTGGGTTTAGAAAACAGATTCTCGGGACGAACATGTGCTCAGTTTCTTAATTCTAGTTATCTGCCCCTACTTCCCAAACCACTAGTTTTCACGTGACTCAGGGTTCATGTTGATCTCCACAACCCTCACGTCTGCCCAACCTTCCTGTAGAAAAAAAAAATCAGTCTAGTTGTGATTGTAATGCTGTGTTTTATATGGTTGCGACCTCCCCTGGGACACTTGTGGGATGTGCAGGGCCTTTGTGGGATGTGAGCTGGGGGGGGGTTTAGTTCCAAGGGCCAAACAGAGCAGCTTTGAGGGCCGCATTCAGCATCTGGGCCTGAGGTTCACCACTCTCCCCTATAAAAGCATGTACTCCTTGTCCAGCACAATGGATGGAAGAACCTACTATTATCCAATATGGAGGAATGGTGCTGGGAACTAACAGAAACTAATTAATAACAAGAATAATTAATAACAAGAACTAATTAATAACAAGAATAATTAATAACAAGAATAATTAATAACAAGAACTAATTAATAACAAGAAAAATTTGGGATTCCCTCTTGGGAAGAAGAAGAAGAAATGAATGGCACTTTGACTATAGTAACCTATACAGAAAGTAGAAAAGATGGATGGACTGAATATCTTAAATAATCATTTTCTAATGTAACCGGCAGATGGAAAAGCAGAAGTCCCCCCTTTTAGCTTTAATGTTTCTTATCTCTCCGTTCCTATTCTCCTCTATTTTCTTTCTCTCTTTCCCCTCTTTCTTGTCTTTTGGTTCTATCTGTTCCAGATATTGTATTGTGAAAACCGTAATGAAATTTTTAAAAATCTTTGTTCAGCAGCTACCCCTGTCCTTGCCTGAGAATAATTTTTTCTCTTCTGTTTCTTTTCCAGGTTTTAAATACAAGAATTCCTCAGAATTGGGAGGGAAAGAACTTTTGGCTCGAAGAGGTGCTTCTTCGTTCGCATTCCGGCACAACCTTGATTCCCGTTTGTTCGTTTTGGCTGATTGACGGCGAGTCCCAGAGGAGAATGAGACAGCTGAAAGGCAAGCCCAAAAAAGAGACGTCGAGAGACAAAAAGGAGCGAAAACAAGCCATGCAGGAAGCGCGACAGCAGGTCACAACCGTGGTGCTCCCTACGCTGGCCGTGGTCGTGCTTTTGATCGTGGTCTTTGTGTACGTGGCGACCCGCCCAAACACAACGGAATGATGCGGCTGTCAAACTCCGCCGCAACTTTTGCCTCCTCTTCTGCCCAATGCCAAAACCAAACCAAAATGAAAGCCCCCAAAAGGAGGAAGAGAAAGACAGCCTTTTCTCTATCTCCAAGTTCATAATAATAATAATCCTTTTGCAAAAAGAAAAAAGGAATCTTCTTTCTTTGACTTGAACCAAACTCCACAGTAAACACAGAACGTATTTGCCACCATGGCACAAAATAATTTTTCTTGCCCAGCTCATGTGCCTTTTTGACTTTGAGGGGGGAGCGCAGGGACCCCTCCCCATTTTCGAATCCTTTCGTCAGGGGGGGGGGGCGGTTCACTGTTGCTTTCAAAAATTTCTATAAATCGAGTTTGAGCCTATCAATTTGTTGGCAACATTGCTAGTGCTGTTACCGTGAGTCGTTGTACGTTGGCTTCGCAACTTTCCAAAGAAACAAAACTGCCCGCCCACCCCCTTTCAGAATGTTATAATGGCATTTGGAAAACTTTGACTAATATATATATACACATATATTTATTTTTGGAATAAAGAAGATGAGTCTTGCATAAAAACTTTCTTTTCGACTTGACCCTCAAAAAACACAAAACCCAGCTCCGTTATGTAACGTTTTCCATCAAACACACGTCAGAGGGCAGACAAAAGGCTTCCCCGTGAGGCTAAACTGGTATTAAGATACAGTGGTGCCTCGCAAGACGAAAAGAATCCGTTCCGCGAGTCTCTTCGTCTTGCGGGTTTTTTCGTCTTGCGAAGCAAGCCCATTAGAGGTTTAGCGGCTTAGCGCTACAGTATTAGCGGCTTAGCCGGCTTAAAGATCAGCTGATAAGCGGCTTAGCCATCAGCTGATAAGCGGCTTAGCATCAGCTGTTAAGCGGCTTAAAGATCAGCTGATAAGCGGCTTAGCATCAGCTGTTAAGCGGCTTAAAGATCAGCTGATAAGCGGCTTAGCATCAGCTGTTAAGCGGCTTAAAGATCAGCTGATAAGCAGCTTAGCCATCAGCTGATAAGCGGCTTAGCATCAGCTGTTAAGCGGCTTAAAGATCAGCTGATAAGCGGCTTAGCCATCAGCTGATAAGCGGTTTAGCGGCTTGGGAAAAAGGGGGGGGGGAAGGAAAAACCCCCCGCAGGAACTCGCAAGACATTTTCGTCTTGCGAAGCAAGCACATAGGAAATTCGTTTTGCGAAGCACCTCCAAAACGGAAAACCCTTTCGTCTAGCGGGTTTTCCGTCTTGCGAGGCATTCGTCTTGCGGGGCACCACTGTAGTTTTAAGATTTTGAGCGTGTCCCTGCAAAACTGCTTGTAATCAGTGATAACCGTAGCTTTAAGTGGTGGCTGGAATGGTTTGAGAAGCAATAAGAAATAGCATTTTGGAAAGTGGTCCACATGCAGGGGATTTAAATTTTCCCTAAATAAAAATGAAGTGACCTTCCTTCCAACATTTACTGAGGGTCTGCTCAAAACACGGCATAAAAACCACATACAGTACAGTGGTACCTTGGGTTACGTACGCTTCAGGTTACAGACTCCGCTAACCCAGAAATAATACCTCAGGTTAAGAACTTTGCTTCAGGATGAGAACAGAAATCGTGCTCCGGCGGCGCGGCGGCAGCAGGAGGCCCCATTAGCTAAAGTGGTGCTTCAGGTTAAGAACAGTTTCAGGTTAAGAACGGACCTCCAGAACAAATTAAGTACTTAACCTGAGGTACCACTGTACATTAAAACTGAGGGCAACGAAATTTAGCAAGCTGCCTTACACTGGCTCCAATTATTTGTCCATCTGGTTGAGTATTGTCTTGACTGGCAGGTGTTCTCCAGGGTCTCGGCCTAGAAACTTTCTCCACCGCCTCCTACCCAACGCTTTTAAATGGAGATGCCGAGGATTGAACCTGGAACCTTCTGCATGCAAAGCAGGCGTTCTGCCACAGAACTCTGACTCTTCCCCAACCATCGGTGGTCAATCTTCAGGTCCATTAGGCTGTAGGAACATACGTAGGAATCTGCTCTCTAATGACCAGGCCCTTCATTCCTCTAGCTCCCATGTTTCCCAAACTTGGGTCTCCAGCTGTTTTGGGACAACAATTCCCATTGGTGGGAATGTTTGGTGCATGAAACAATTTTTAAAAACACCGTATTTTTTTATCTATAAGACGCACTTTTTCCCTCCTAAAAAGTAAGGGGAAATGTGTGTGCGTCTTATGGAGCGAATGCAGGCTGCGCAGCTATCCCAGAAGCAGGAACAGCAAGAGGGATTGCTGCTTTCACTGCGCAGCGATCCCTCTTGCTGTTCTGGCTTCTGAGATTCAGAATATTTTTTTTCTTGTTTTCCTCCTCCAAAAACTAGATGCATCTTATGGTCTGGTGTATCTTATAGAGCGAAAAATACGGTATCTTCTGAACTCACACAGATGAGAAAGCAGCAAGTGCAGTGTGACTGCCTGAACGTGCATTCTCAGAAGTGATTCTGCAAGGGGATCACTAAACTCTCCAAACATAATAATAATTAAAAAATACATTTATTTTGAAGATTTGCCTCCCATCATGCACCTCCAGGTGGTATACATGGGGTACCCTGGCATCTCCCACCCAACCACTGTCTAGACCAGCATCCCCTAACTCGGCCCTCCAGATGTTTTGGGACTACAATTCCCATCATCCCTGACCACCGGTCCTGCTAGCTAGGGATGACGGGAGTTGTAGTCCCAAAACAGCTGGGAGACCCAAATTTGGGAAATCCTGCTCTAGCTCAGTCTCGTCTACACTGACTGGTAGCTGCTCTTCACGGTGCTCCAAAGGAAACATTTCTAAGAGCGGCGGCCAAATGGTAGCTCAAGTATCTTCTGTATTGCAGTCAGTAGGCTGCACATCGCTTGCCTTTTTAACAGGGTTTTGTCCTATGGTAGAGAATCAAATGAGAGATACAGTAAAGCTGTATGGCAGGTGTGAATGTGGGGGAAGCTTTTGCTCTTCAGATGTTGCTGAACTATATAGTTCCCATAAATGCTGGGTCTGATGGGAGTTGTAATTTGGCAACATCTGAGAGCCAGTGTGGTGTAGTGGTTAAGAGCGGTGGACTCGTAATCTGGTGAACCGGGTTCATGTCTCCGCTCCTCCACCTGCAGCTGCTGGGTGACCTTGGGCTAGTCACACTTCTTTGAAGTCTCTCAGCCTCACTCACCTCACAGAGTGTTTGTTGTGGGGGAGGAAGGGAAAAGGAGATTGTTAGCCGCTTTGAGACTCCCTAGGGTAGTGATAAAGCGGGATATAAAATCCAAACTCTTCTTCTTCATCTGGAGGGCCAAAAGTTCGCTCTGCTATATAGAAAAATAGTAACAGCAAGTGATAAAAGACATCGGCTTACAAATTTGCTGGTCATAGGTCTGTCTCTCTTAATACTCCTTTTTTTTTAAAAAAATTAAAATTGTATACATTATTCTGCTCAAAAACTTTTCTAAGTGTTTCAGCAATAGGATTTCAAACTGTTTCTGGGCGTGAAGAGGCGGCAACAGAATGGAATGATTTATTAGAATCCTTTTAGCAGGAAAAAAAAACCACACTGTGCTATTTCTTCGAGCCCCATCATGTGATAAGCCACCAAAGGTGCTCATTACCTGATAAAACCATTTTGCATATATTCTGTCAGCCCTCCCTTCCCCACACATCCATTTATAGCCGTGGCTTTATTAGCAGCAAAATTTTCTTAGCGTGAATCCCATCTCGGTGCAAGATGTTTATAAAGGGCCAAGACTTTAATGGAGCTCTTGCAAGTAAGTTTTTCTTTCCTTTTTCTTTTTAACTATTAGTGTTTTGAGTCGCAAGAAAATAAAGGGGAATAGGAAGAACTGGGCATTCCCTCTTTACAATGGTGAGAATACTTAGCTCTTTCAAATGAGAGGTGCTTTAAAAAAACACAGCTGTAGCAATTTGAAACTGCCAGAGGACTCGAGGGATTCCTCTTCGTTTGTTTAAAGTTGGACGCATTACTAAGGTAGCAGAATATTTGACCTCCGAGGTGGATCATGCTGAATGACTTGCGTCCCCCAAGAGAACCTTGCTATTTCAAGCTCTCCCTCCCACAAAAGAACAGCACTGTTGAGAACCATATGCTAGGAAGAAATGGCTCAAGGGTGACTGGAGAAGAAGTGAAGTTGAGAAATCTAGGTCAGTGGTGGAGATCTTGTGGTTTCTCCAATTCCCCTCATCCCCAACATCAGTTTTCTTTTCGTACTTGGACAGGATCTGTGCTTCCTTTTTTTGTAATCCTACCTTTATTGCCGCTTCTGGCTTCCGGGGTTGCTATTTGAAAACCCCTTAAAACAAAACTTTTAATAATATTCTCAGTGGGGAGCTCTCAGGCTGCATTCTTAAACCCACTTCATGGGGAGGAAGTCCTCTTGTTGACCCAAAAAGGAACCACGAGTAAACCTATTTAGGCTCCCGTCTGCCAGGACAGGAACCGTGGGGTGGTTATGGGGAACACGACACTCTATGAAGTGCCATATGAAACCACAGTTTTAATTCTACCTTCTTTCACTACCTTGCAGGACATCTTCGAGAGAAGAAAAGGCTAAGGAGCTTTTAGGGGGATTTTTTTGGGAAAGATTTATTGGGGAGATGGCTGGAAAGGACACTATCTCTGGTGCCCTCTTGCCCCCGTGCCGCCTGGTGTGCCTTGCCGCCCTGCCCCTGCCTTCCTACGCTACTGGCTGGTGCCAAGTGTATTGCTCTGCTTTCCTTTGGACCACATAAGTGAGGCCAAGAGAGAGGTCTTGTTGTCTGGGCAGCCCAGGACCTCCATCCACACTGCCCAGGCTTGTGCCCCAAGGTGGTCACTTGGGCACTGCCACATACCTCTTGTTACGTTTGCTTCAGGTTGAATCCTTTCGGTTGTGTCCCGCGGCGACCTGGAAGTAATGGAACGGGTTACTTCCGGGTTTTGCCGTATGCGCAGACGCTCAGAATGACGTCACGCGCATGCGCAGATGCGGATTGCGTTCTCATGATGCGAACGGGGCTCTGAAACGGATCCCGTTTGCATCCAGAGGTACCACTGTACAGTGGTACCTCAGGTTACATACGCTTCAGGTTACGGACTCCGCTAACCCAGAAATAGTACCTCGGGTTAAGAACTTTGCTTCAGGATGAGAACAGAAATCGTGCTCCAGCGGCGCAGCAGGAGGCCCCATTAGCTAAAGTGGTGCTTCAGGTTAAGAACAGTTTCAGGTTAAGAACGGACCTTCGGAACAAATTAAGTTCTTAACCCGAGGTACCACTGTAGTTTGACTTTACCTCTGGAGGCACACTCCATTTTCTTTTGAGGCGGACTGATGCCAGCTGCAACAATTCTACCCTTAGCAAATTGTGGAAGCGGGATGCTTCATAGAAACATGGAATCATGATTGGAAGGGACCCCAAGGATCATCATGTCCAAACCCCTGGGATGCAGGAATCATAACTAAAGCATCCATGGCAAATGACCATCCAACCTCTGCTTAAAAACCTCCAAGGAAGGAGAAACCACCACCTTCCGAATGAGTCCGTTCTGCTGTCAGAACAGCTCCTACTGTTGGAAAGTTCCCCCGATGTTTAGTTGGAATCTCCTTCCTTGTAAATTGAAGCCATCGATTTGAATCCTACCCACCGGAGCAGGAGTAAACAAGCTTGCTGCCTCTTCCACGGGACAGCCCTTGATATTTGAAGATGGCCATCATATCTCCTCTCTCTCTGCTGTTCTTGGGCGGGAGGAGATATGCATGCGAATGACATGAAACATAGCCCTGAGCTTTGGTACCTAACTTAAGCAATCTGCTTTCAACCTGATTCAGTTGTGTTAAATTTATTTATGCTCCTCCAGGCTGCGTATTAATGACCATGCTTGGGGAATAGCAGTTGCGGTTCTGGGGCATTCTGTCTGGTGTTGCTAACTCAAGACTTGCCCTGGCAAGCAGGGCAGCCATCAAATCTGCTAGTTGTTATTGCTGCAGAAACCTCTTCCTTCAGGAAAGGAACCTCTTTGATAATTGCTACACATGCAGAGGAATGGGAAGGTTCCTGCCAGAATTCTAATGCGACGGAGGTCCGTGGAACCGGTTCTCCGCTGGAAGAAAAGCACAAGGGGAAATTAACTCTCTATATCTTTCTGACGGCTGGAGGCTGTTGGAGTTTTGACAGCTCTATCCTGGGCTTCCGTAAAGGATGCTGCCCGTTCTCTCTCACTGCCCCCTGGCCTGGAAAGCTCTCCTGGATAACCTATAGCAGTCCTTTGGAGGTCTCCTTAGCCCCGGTCAGCATGTACAGTGGTCAGGGATGGGAAGTGCTAAAGCTTAACAATGTGTGATGGACCGGTTTCTACATCCCTGGCTGATGCTATTCTTTGCTCCATCTTTGGAATTCTCTCTTCCTTAAAGCCCTTCTCTGTAGCCCTCAAACCAAGGTTTTTATTTTTGCACTGATAGGAGTGTCAGGAGTTCAGCCTATACTCGAGTAAGACCCTGGTAGAGACACATGCCCAACTGGCCGATCGTTCGGGAGCTTCAAAAGCTTTCTTCTGCCCGAACATCACAGCGACCGATGCCAACAGACATCGGCACACTTAGGGATCCGCAGAGTTTGTGCAGTTGCATAACAGACCTCAGCAACTCAGCATTTTGGCTAATCTACTTTATTTACATATAAACACACCCGGAGCACTGCAACATGGCTCCCTCTCTCTCTAGCATCAGACAGCAAAGAGAAAAAGAACAAAGGACAATAGTCCCACTTCACGGAACACAGTAACACAAACATCCTGCCTTCGTCACTTCCCACTCTGTGGAGTCAAAACATATAGCGTCATGTGAAAGACAACAATCCTATGACTGCAATCATGGATCAGGAATTCTAACAAGGAGAACCATTTTGTTTTAAAGGGGTGGGTGGACAAGCATTGGTAGG